TCAGCCATAAATTGAAATCAGTAGATCAGTTTGGGCAGGATAGCCATCTTTTTTTTTGCTGCATTGAGTGGTTTGTGGGCTTTTAGTTACCTATCAGGGATTTAAGCCGTGCCCTTGGCAGGGAAAGCATGGAGTCCTAACCACTGGACTTCCAGAAAATTTCAGGACTGCCATTTTTAATATCTTTCAATCCATAAACATGAATGTGTTTCTGTTTATTTAGCTCCATATATATATATATATATATTCATATATTAAAAAATAATTTTATGTATTTATTTATTTTGGACTGTGCTGGGTCTTGGTTGCTGTGGGTGGGCTTTCTTTAGTTGCAGCAGTCGGGCTACTTTTCCTTGGCATGTGCAGGCTTATTGAGGTGGCTTCTCTTGTTGCAGAGCATGGGCTGTAGGGCACATGGGCTTCAGCAGTTGCATGTGCGTTCAGTAATTTCAGCTCCCAGGCTCCAGAGCACAGGTTCAGTAGTTGTGGCTCACGAGCTTAGTTGCCCCACAGCATGTGGCATCTTCCCGGCAGAGATTGAACCCGTGTCTCCTGCATTGGCAGATGGATTCTTTACCACTGAGCCACCGTGGAAACCCACTAGCTCTAATGTTTTAAACAGTGTTTTCAATATACAAAGCGAAATTTATTTCTAAGTATTTTATTCATTTTGATGCTCTTTTTTCCTCCCCCCTCCTTTTTATCTTTTTTTTTTCCACTTATTTTTATTAGTTGGAGGCTAATTACTTTACAATATTGTAGTGGTTTTTGCTGTACATTGACGTGAATCAGCCATGGATTTACATGTGTACCCCATCCTGATCCCCCCTCCTGCCTCCCTCCCCATCCGATCCCTCTGGGTCTTCTCATTTTTTTAATCTTTTTTTTTAATGCTCTTTTAAGTGGAATTTTTTTCTTAATTTCATTTTAGATTATATATTGCTAGTGTATAGAAATGAGAAATGTAATTGATTTTTGTGTACAGATCTTGTACTCTGCAACCTTGCTAAACTCATTAGTTCTAATAGTTCTTTCAGTGGATTGTTTGGTATTTTATATATATATATATATATATAATGTCAGAACATCTGTGAGTAGAGATATTTTTACTTCTTCCTTTGCCTAACCAACTTGGCTGTTGGATATAAATTTTAAGAGTAGACATCTTTTCTTGTTCCAGTACTGATAGGAAAAGCACTCATCAGTCTTTCACTAATAAGTATGCTGTTAGCTATAAGTTTATTGCAATGTCCTATTCAGGTGAGGAAGTTCTCTTGTTGAGTGCATTTATTGTGAAAAGTTGTTAGATTTTGGGCAGTGCTTTTCCATGTCTATTGAAATGATCATGTGATTTTTGTCCTCTGTTCTATTAATGTGGTGTATTACAGTAATTGATTTTCTATATTCATACGTGGTATGTTTCCTTTTCTTGTATCTTATGTGGATTGAGCATGAGGATAATTTTGGCTTCAAAGGATGAATTAGGAAATGTTCCCTCGTCTTCTGTTTTATGAACAGTTTCTGAAATATCGGCGTTAATTCTTATTTGTGTTAATATTAACCTGTGACACCATCTCGGCCTAGCTTTTTTTTTTTCCCTGTGTGGAAGTTTTTTTTAAAGTCTATTCAGCTATTCTGTTTCTTCTTCAGTCAGTTTATCTCTGCTTTTTTTTTTTTTTTAATTGTCTTTTTCTACTTTGGGGTTGGTTTTTTTCTTTTCTTTTTTTTTTGTTTTTTTCTTTATGTTCTTTGAAGTATAAAGTTAGGATATTGGTTGAAGGTCTTTTTTTAAAAATTCATTTTATAGTTGAAGTGTAGTTGATTTACAGTGTTTCAGGGGTACAACAGAGTGATTCAGTTATACATATAAAGATCTTTTTTACTATGTGTGTTGTGCCATTTTAAGAAACATGTATTTTGTCTTTGTTCCCTGTTCTTTGGCATGCAGCTCCTAAAACTTTGGGAATCTCTGGAGTGATGAGATGCTTCTGTATGCTGATGAACATTGACAGTTGCTGGGGACCCCTGGATAGTCTCAGAATAGGGGCTGGGCACCAAAAATACCAGGGGATGATTGGAAGGTTGGATTTTCAGTTACTCCCAGCCTCCTCCTCTCACTTCCCTACCCTGACATTTGTGGGGAGGGGGAAGGGCTGGAGTTTGGGCCAATCATCAATGGCCAGTGATTCAATCAATCATGCCTATGTGACGAAACATCCATAAAAACTCCAGAATGACCAGTTCAGAGAGCTTCTGGGTTAGTGGACACATCTGAGGTGCTAGGAGAACGGTGCCACCAAGGGCATGGATCCTTCTTACCCTCTGCATCCTCAGTCTCCACCCCTGGCATACCCTGCCCTTTTCATTTCTTCCACTGGGCTGTTCCTGAGTTATAGCCTTTAAAATAAATTGGTAATAGTAAGTAAATTCTTTACCTGAGTTATCAGATCTGTTCTAGCAACTTATTGAACCTGAAGTGGAATCAATAATTTTGAGAATCTCAGATTTACAGCTACCAGAAGTATGGGAGGCAGGGGACTTCAACTGATGCCTGAGGTAGGGGCAGTCTTGTGAGACTGAGCCCATAACCTGTGGGATCTGGTGCTAATTTCACGTATCTGGTGTCAGAATCGAATTGAATCCTTGAACACCCAGTTGGAGTTGGAGAAATGGTATGGAAAACCACCCATGGATTTGGTGTCAGAGGTGTTGTGAATAAGGCAGCTCAATTTTTGTTGATATAATTTTCCTTCTAAGCAAGACTTTCCCCAAAACTTTTGGTATGTTGTGTTCTCTTTCATTTATCTCAAAGTGTTTTATAATTTTCCTTGTGGTTATTTAGGAGTACTTTAATTTTCATAAATTTGTGAGTTTTCTAGATTCACAGACATGGAGAACTGACTTTTGGTTGCCAGGGGATGGGGCAAGGAGCAGGAGAGGGGTGGATTGGAGTTTGTAACTAGCAGATGCAGATTATTATATATAGAATGGATAAACAACAAAGTCCTATTATATAGCACAGGGAAGTATATTCATATCTTGTAATAAACCATGATTTGAAAGAATTCTAAAATATATGTGAATTTCCCAAAATTTTTTCTGTTGTTGCTTTCTACTCTGAAGTCTACTGGTTTGTTTTATGTCCTAGCAAATGGCCTCTTTTGGAGAATGTTCCATGTGCATGTCAGAATGGAGGAGAATATGTATTCTGTTATTGTTAAGTAGCATGTTCTATAGATGTCTTAGAGGTCTAGTTGATTTTTAGCGTTATTCAAGTGTTACATCCGTCTTCAGTTTCTGCCTAGTGGTCCTATCCATTTATGAAAGTTAGAAATTGAAGTCTCTAAATATTATTGTCTTAATTCTTTCTTTAATTATTGTCAGTTTTGCCTCATAGGGGGTTCTTTTTTAGAAAACTGTGGTAAAACAAACCATGATATTTACCTTCTTAACACATTTTTAAATGTACAGAAATGGGTCCAACAAGGAGCTGCTGTACAGCACAGGGAACTGTGTTCAGTATCTTCTAATAACCTATAATGGAAAATAATCGGAAAAAGGTATATACACACACACATACATAACTGAATCACTTGGCTGTACACCAGAAACCAATACAGTACTGTAAGTCCACTATATTTCAATTTTAAAAAATTAATAAAAAATAAATGAACATTCAATTGCCTCTGACAATTTTTTTAAAAAAATGTAGAGTCCCATGTTCTAATACTTGATTTCCTTCATGGGTGCCATGGTGACACAAGCTTCCTCTGTTTTTGTAGGGTGGGTCAGTCTTGATTTGGGCTGGCATCTTATTACTGTTCTCCCTCTTAGGCTTTGCACCTTCAAAGTCCCCCAAGGTTGCCCAAATGGAGGGTGAGGAAGAGGCCTGGGTGCCCAACATGGTGGACAATGTGGTCAGCCGAGCAGAGGCCAGGAAGGGTCCCAGACTCAGTGACTGGGGCCAGGGGAGGCCTTGGTTTCAGTGATGGGTATCTGTTTGCACTGGCATTTGGGTGCTGGGGCCAGTGACCACACCTTACTTCCACCTTGCCCCTCTTCTGGACTCACCGTGTGGTCTTGCAGTCTCTACTGAGGCTCTGGATGACCCACCTCTCTGGCCTCTGTCTGGTCATTCCCTCTTCTCTGTGCCACTGCAGAGCTGTCCACTGTGACCTGCTCTGCATGTGACTTGAGATGCACACATCCTTCAGTAATCCATGAACATCTGCTGCTCTATCAGTCATCTTTTCACTGGGGCAGACATCCTTTCCACAGAGCTTGCTGCTGTCAGCATCACTGGCCCAGCTGAAGCCCTCTGCAGAGCAGGACTTGAGGACCATGACCCCCTCCCTGCAGTGCTCCCGTCTGTTTCCTCGTCCCTGTTGCAGTTTCCCTGTTCTGGGGTCAGGCAGAGCCCTGTTCCCCTGGGCCAGCCCCTCCTCATCCGAACCTTTCCCTGCAACCTCCTGCAGGTCTGTGGACACCTCCGTGGGTGTGTCCCACAGGCACCGGTGCTAAAGGTGCCTCCTCCCTGCAGGCCCGCTCTCAGTGCCCGCCTCTTCTGTCCCAGGTTGTCTGTGTAGACTGCAGGATGAGGACGCCCCTCGCGAGCTCGGAGAGAGCTGCCCAGTCCGCCTGCCAGAGAAGCCCTCTCTGTGTGGGATGTCTGGACGGGCCTTCCCTGCCGCCTTAGGCTTCCTCCAGCCCCAGGCTGCCCGCAGAGAGGAGGCGCCCCGCGGGAGCCCCGAGTGCAGCAAGGCCTGCCCACCCGGCTCTGCTCGCCAGCGGCAGCGGGGTGGCCACGCGGTGCAGGCGCCCTTCCGGTGCAGTGACTGTGGGCAGGCCTTCCTCCAGGCCTTCACGCTCCTCGACCACCTCGTCGCTCACGCCAGAGAGCGGCCCTTCAGGGGCGCAGCAGGTGGAAGCAGCCCGACGGAGAACTCAACCCTGGTTCCTCACCGGGACGCTCACCCTGGAGAGACGCCCCACGTGTGCAGTGAGTGTGGCAGGGCCTTCACCTACCCGTCTAAACTGAGGAAGCACCAGAAGGTTCACACTGGCCTCAAGCCTTTCAAGTGTGCCGAGTGCGGGAAGACCTTCAGCCGCAAGGACGCGCTCGTCCTGCACCGGAGAAGCCACACCGGAGAGCGGCCGTACGGCTGCGGCGAGTGCGGGAAGGCCTTCAGCGTGCTCTCCACCCTCGTTCGGCACCGGAAGGTGCACATCGGAGAAAGGCCGTACGAGTGCCGGCAGTGCGGGAAGCTCTTCAAATACAGCCACAGCTTCGTCCTGCACCAGAGGGTGCACACGGGAGAGAGGCCGCACGGCTGCGGCGAGTGCGGGAAGGCCTACGCGACCCGGTCGGGGCTGTACCAGCACCGGAAGGTCCACACCGGCGAGCGCCCCTACGAGTGTGGCCTGTGTGGGAAGACCTTCACCACCCGGTCCTACCGCAATCGCCACCAGCGCTTCCACACCGAGGAGCGGGCCCACGAGTGCCCCGAGTGCGGTCGCGCCTTCAAACATGGCTCGACCCTCCTCCAGCACAGGAAGGTTCACGCTGCAGGAAGACCGTAGGGGGCTGGCAGGCAGGCAGGCAGGCAGGAAGCCATCGGCCGCGGCTGGCTCCTGCTCAAGTTCTCAGTCCAAAAGGGAGGCTGGGGAGAGGGGCCGTTTGCCAGAGGAACCCGACGCCCTCACCAACGGGCAGGCGCGCTGCGCTCCAGCCCGGCCGGCGGTTGGCAGTGTTGGGCCATTGTCAGTTCCTGTGACGGAAGCCGTCCCACCGCTCTGAGCCAGCAGCTCCCGTGGTGTGCATCAGTGACCCTGTGTGCTCTGGGAAGCCGCCCTCTCCTCCATAAGGGACAGAGTCACGGGCGCTGGATTCCATACGCGGCCTTATTCCCTCCGCCGAGGCGGTTGAGGTGCGGACATGACCTAGCTCTGGCCGACGGTAGCTGAGCAGTGTCTGCAGGGGCTTCCAGGGAAGGTTAGCCATCTTTATGGACTCTGTGGAGGCCACTTTGGGTCCCTGTCCTGAATTTATCCAGCCCTGGGACTGTCTCAAGCAGCTCTGGAATGTCGAATAAAAACCTTTCGTGTACGCCACCCTTAATCTTTGGGCTCTGATGTCTGTGTGTGGAAGGACTGAGAACCAACCTGGGCTCATGAATAGAGGGCGTGGTTTCCCTGGAGGTCCCCGACTGGCGTCCACCTCAGCGGGGACAGCAGGATGGCAGAGGCCAGCTCCAGTCAAGGTTGGCCGAGTTTGCACTGGAGCTTCAGACCTCCGGGGGGAGACTGAAGGGCTCTGTGGGTGGATCTCTGGCTTGGATGTCAGGTCTACCTCTGGGCCCAGAGTTTGCCTGAAGAATGGAGTGGTGGGGAGAAGATCCCTGTGTGACTGGGGACAGGCACCAGTTGGGCTCCTTGTTTCTGGGGTAAGTTCTGCAACCTCCAGCGCTGGCCAGAAGCTGCTTCTAGAATCAGCTCAGAGGCCGAGCTCTCTGAAACTGAGAACGTGGAGGTAAGTTTGAGAGTGGCTGTATGTCCTGCAGGGGCTGCTGGGCAGAGTGAGTGGGCACAGGAGCACGGAGAGGAGCCCTGTGGAGCAGGGGGCCTGGCACACATGAGGCTTGAGCTAATTCTAAAGAGGAATCCATGGATGTGCCAGGAGCATAGTTTCAGGGGGTGAGGCGGGCCGTTTCTCAGGAATTTCAAGCCTGTTCCTGGTGTCCAAGGTCGCTGTCAGCAAATAGCCTACAGGTTCCTTGGATCCTCAGAGCCTTTCCGGGCATGTTCACCTCCTGGCCGTCACCCTGGGGCTGAGAGAAGATCCTGTCATACTGGGATGCAGCTTTCGTGACCTGGTTGGGATTCCTGGTGTGTCTGCACACCACAGCCTTGACTTTTTGCTGTTGCTGTCACAGGGCTCCAGGGAAGGAAGTTGTTGATTCACACATAGATCCAGATCTGTCGGTTGTGGGCCCTTTGATTTTTCAAATGTTGGAAACTACTCTTTTACAAGGTAAATGTCAGTTCAGTGAAACTTGTTATGTGGTTGTCACTGTGTCCCTGGTCTATAAATAGTGCTTCACATCAAGAAGAAAACGTTAGTGGAGGCGTGTTTGGGGAGAGCCAACAACAGACTGGAGGCTTTGGGCTGAGTGGTGCTCAGCCAGGACCATGTGTTGGGGTTGGAACCTGCTGCTGCTGCCCTTAGCTTCAGCGGTTCCCCTCAGCCACCCCGCCAGCAGGAGGGGCGGCAGCCGTGGGTGCAGGGAGCTCTCGGCCAGTCTGCTCGGCGTCTCCAGTGCCGTGAGGCACACACCACCCCAGGCCTGCTGGGGCCCTTGTGTGTGTAATCCCTGTGTGTGATCAACTGTCTGCCTTCAGCGTGGAGGTCTGTATGGAGCAGAGTCAAAGTCTGGCAGAGCCAAGCAGGGCCCAGATGTCCAGGCAGGTGGGGGTCAGGGCACTGACCAGACTCTTCACCCCAACCGACAGGGTGGCATGACCTGTCTCCTGACCTCGCGGCCTGCTTCTCCCCCATGGTCCCTCCATGGGTCATCCCTGCCTGGTGCCTCTGCACTGCCGCTCCTGGCTGAAAAGGTTCCTGGAGTCCCCTCCTCAGATTTCCCTGGCAGCCTAAAAGAGGGAAGTAGCGGCATCACTGTCACTCTCACCTGTGCTTCATTCCTCTCAGAGCTGCGGTTGCTCCGCAGTGACCGTATCCTTTGGTCCCTTTGCACGTTAAACCTTTGTATTGCACAGCAGATGGAGATGAAATGCATCTACCGCGGAGCTCAGGGAAAAGCCTGGTGCCCAGTAGGACCCCGGGGGATGTCTGGTGGCCCTGAGGGATGGTACACAGCCCTGTCGGAGCTGACCCTGGGGAAGGAGAAGGTAGGAGACCTCAGGGAAAGAGTGGTGCTTACCCTGTCCAGCTGCTGAGCCCTGGAGACTTCACTCCCCTGGCAGGATGAAATCCACAGGCCCCTCCTGCATGAAACTGACATTGTAGTAGGGTGGTGTAGACTGAACGCTGTGTCCCCCCCACAATACCTAGTTTAAAGCCTAACCCACTCAGTGTTCCGTATTTGGAAGTGGGGCCTTTGGGAGGTTGATGAGGTCTTGAGGGAGGAACCCTTGTGACTGGGATTAGTGGTCTCATAAGAGAGGCCCCCAAGGACCCCCTCTCCTTCACTGTGAGGACACAGAGGATGGCTGTCAACCAGGAAGCAGATCCTCACCTGACACCAAATATCCTGTCACTGTGATCTTGGATTTTCCAGTCTCCAGGACTGTGATAAATTTGTTATTTTAAAGCCTTCCAGTTTATATTTGTTTGATCAGTTGGAATGGACTAAGACATGGGAGACAGACACCCCTCAAGAAAGCACACAACTGGCAGCTGTGAGCAGGGCTGTGACGGGCCCTGCAGTGTGTCAGTGAGCCCCTCCTGGTGCACCTCATCTCAGGACCCGAGTCTGTCCTTATGTTTTTCTCCTCGGGGCTCACGTGACCCTACAGTAGCTTTTACCTCAGTGAAGAAAAACTTCGTGGCCTGGAGTCACGTCTGCTTCTTTTGTTGGAACTTTAAAAAACCTGGCATTTAATGATTCTTCTACAATCCATAAGGCTTATTAATATTTCACCAGTATACATGGACACACACACCTATACACACACACACAATTTCTCCCTTGGTACAGTTTTAGGTATATCCCACATATTTTGATATGCTGTTTTCATTTTCATTCCAAGTACTTTCAAATTTTTCTTTTGATTTCATCTTTGACCATGGATTATTTATAAGTGTGATATTCAGTTTCTGAATGAGGGTTTCCCACACATCATCCTGTTCTTGATTTCTTACTGAATTCTGTTATAGTCAAGGTCCATACCATGTATTATTTCTTTTCCCTTTATCAGGCCTTCTTTTATGGCCCAGAATATGCTCCATTTTGGTAAATGTTCTACGTGCATGTGAAAAGAATGTCTATTCTGTCCTCTTGGACAGGAAGTTCTATAAATATTATGTCAAGCTGGTTAAAATTGCTGTCTTCCACGCCTTTAATGATTATCTGGGAGGGTGTGAACATCCCAAAGTATAATTGTGAATTTGTCTCTTTCTCCTTGCAGTTCCATCAGTTTTTGCTTCATGTACCCTGAAGCACTGTTGGGTACATTAATGTGTAGGACTGTCATGTGTCTTTATTAATGAATCTCTCAACCAGCATGGGTCAGTTCATTCCCTGACTCTCTCAGAGGCAACAGGCAGCTAGAAAGAGGTTTATGCTCCAGAGGGGAGACAGCGCTGTGTAGGTTCCCAGGCTACTCAGAAAGGGCAGGCTAGCTTCTGAAGGTATTTCCACATCAGTGACACATTAGGGAATTTCTCTGTAGTCTGCTGCCTGAAGTATGATGTGGCTGAAGATCTCCCAAAGACCATCTCCATGAGGCTACACTCAGCTGTGGATCCTTCTATGCTGTGCAAGGTTGCAGAGGCGGCTGAAGATTTTCCCACAGTGGCCACACTCATAAGTCCTTTCTCTGGTGTGAACTATTTGGTGTCGAACAAGTGTGGATCTTTCACTAAAGGCTTTCCCACACTGGCTGCATTCGTAGGGCCTTTCCTGTGTGTGCACTCTCTGGTGACGAATGAGGTGAGAGTTACTGCTGAAGGCTCTCCCACATGCACTGCACTCGTAAGGCCTTTCCCCAGTGTGAACTCTCCAGTGATAGATGAGGCTGGACTTACGGCTAAAGAACTTGCCACATTTAGTGCACTCATAAGGCCTTTCCCCAGTATGAACTTTCTGATGCTTCGTAAGAATGGACTTTTGGCTAAAGAACTTCCCACATTCATTACACTCATAAGGCCTTTCTCTGGTGTGAACTCTCCAGTGCTCAATGAGACTGGAACTGTGAGCAAAGGCTTTTCCACATTCACTGCACTCATAAGGCTTTTCCCCAGTGTGAGTTCTCCAGTGCTGAACCAGGCTGGAGTTGCGACTGAAGGCTTTTCTGCACTCACTGCACCTGTAAGGCCTTTGTCCAGTATGTACTTTCTGGTGCTGAATGAGGGTGGAGCTATTGCTGAAGGTTTTCCCACATTCACCACATGCAAAAGGCCGTTCTCCGGTGTGGACCTTCTGATGGCGAAGGAGGTGAGAGCTTTGGCTAAAGTCTCTCCCACATTCACTGCATCCGAAAGGCCGTTCTCCGGTGTGAACCTTCTGGTGCTGAGCAAGGTTGGAGTTGTTGTTAAAAGCTCTCCCACACTCACTGCACTCAAACGGTCTTTCTCCAGTGTGAACTCTCCAGTGCTGCATGAGTGCAGAGCTGCGACTGAAGGCTTTACCACACTGACTGCACTCATAAGGTTTTATGTGGGTGTGGACTTTCTGGTGCCGAAGGAAATTCGAGCTTTGGCTGAAGGCTCTTCCACATTTGCTGCACTTGAAAGGCCTTTCTCCTGTGTGAACTTTCTCATGCCGAGCGAGGTGTGACCTGTTATTGAAGGCTTTCCCACATTCACTGCATTCATAAGGCCTTTCTCCTGTGTGGATTCTCTGGTGATGAATGAGGGTGAGTTTGTGGCTGAAGGTTTTCCCACAGTCACTGCACGCATAATCTTTAACTCCTGTGTGGAATTTCTGATGCTTCCTCAGTTTATATGGGTGACTGAAAGCCTTGCCACACTCTTTGCATATATGAGATGTTTCTCCAGTATGAAACCATTGGTCACTAATAAGGGCTGATTTCTCCTCTAAGGAATTTTCAACTCTTGGGCATCTAAATGGTGTCTCTTCAGAGTGAGTGCTCAGGTGGCTGAGGAGGACATTAGTCTTCTGAAAGGCTTTCCCACTGTCACTGCAGTTGAAGGGCTTCTGTGAGGACTGGACCTCTGGAAGCTGCCCAGAATCGAAAGGGTGCAGTGAGGCCTCCCTGCCCTTTGTGCTGCTATGTGGCTCCCCACTGCCATTCATGCTTGGGGGCTGGAGGAGGTCATGGCTGTCTGAGACATCCTGGCCACCTAACCCACATGTAATGGGCTTCTCTGACAGAGAGGCTGTTGAGCTCTTCACAAACAAGTCCCTGTCTCTGTTCCATTGGAAGGGCTTTTCTCCATTGTACTCCTGATGCTGGTGAAGATTTGCACCAAACCAAAACTTTCTTCCATATGCTAAACATGTGCAGGGAGTCTCCCCAGTATGTCTTTGATGGTCGTCCAGCTGCAAAATGTTTTTCAAGAGTGGCTCACACGTGTCACAGCTGTCAGCCTTCTGCATGGAAGGAGGTACATTGGGAGTCCTGACCTGTGCCACCACTTCTCCAGAAGCATTCTTCTCAGAAGGCAACTCCTCACCTTCCACCACAGGCCAACAGCCTGAAAGACGAGAAATTTCTGGTTAATGTGAGCGTTCCACTTAGTGAAAAGGGTGACTTCTTTAGAAATGTGTCACTGACACATACAGGAATGTTCCAAGGGTTTGCCGATAGGCCAGGTGGGGCAGAGTTAGAGTGAAAGGCTCACTTGCAGGACAGGGCCCTCACCAGAGGCAAGAACTCAGAGGCAAAGGACCTGAAAAGACATTTTTCAAAAACAGATATATATATACACAGATGGCCAGAAAGTAAATGAAAAGAAGCTCAACATCATTAGTCATTGTGTGTACTGTGTGTGCGCTCAGTTGTGTCCGACTCTTTGCAACCCCATGCACTATAGCCTGTCAGGCTCCTCTGTCTATGGAATTTTCCAGGCAAAAATACTGGAGTGGGTTGGCATTTCCTACTCCAGGGGATCTTCCTGAATCAGGGATCGAACCTACATCTCTTCCATCTCCTGCACTGGCAGGCAGATTCTTTACCACTGCACCACTGGGGCAGCCCATTAGTCTTTACAAAAATGCAAGCTCAAACCACAATGAGATACCACTTTAAACTTACCAGGATAGCTTTAAGAAAAAAAGATAGTAAACAAGTTTTTGATGAGGAAGTAGAGAAACTGAAACACTCATAAACTGCAGTGGGAATGTAAAATGGTGCTGCCAATTGGAAACAGTTTAGGAATTTCACTGCTATGTATTTACTGAAGAGAAATGACATATATCTACACAAAAACTTGTACATGAACATTTGTAACAGCCATGATTTTTTAACAGTCAAAAAGTGGAAAAAAGCCAAATGTCCATCAGCTGATGAATGGATAAACAAAACCGGTATACCTATACGCTGGAATATTTTTCAGCCATAAAAATGAAAGAAGTATTACTGATATATTCTATAACATGGATGAACCTCAACATTATGTCAAGTAAAAGCCAGTCACAGAAAACACATATTGTATAATTCCATTTGCATAAAATATCTATTAATAGAATAAGCAAATCTGTATAGTCAGAAAGTAGATTAGTGGTTGCCTAGGACTCAGGACAGGATGAGGGAGGATAAAGAGTGGCTGCTAAAGGGTACAGAGTTTTTCCTTAGGTAATGAAAATGTTCTAAAATTAAAGTATAGTGACATTAATTTATTGAAAAAGTGAAAGTGAAGTCGCTGAGTCCTGTCTGACTCTCTGCGACCCCACTGACTGTAGCCTACCAGGCTCCTCCATCCATGGGATTTTCCAGGCAAGAATACTGGAGTGGGTTGCTACTTCCTTCTCCAGGAGATCTTCCCAACCCAGGGAATGAACCCAGGTCTCCTGCATTGTAGCAGATGCTTTACTGTCTGGGCTACCAGGGAAATCCATTTGTTTATTATCCTTAATTTTAAAAAATTTTATTGTTAAGTTCTGCCATAAAGCAAACTGCCTCAGTTATACATATGTTCTTTCTCGTATTCTTTCCTATTATAGTTTGCTGTGCTATATAATAGGACCTAATGATTATCCATTCTATATATAATAGTTTGCATTTCCTAATTCCAATCCATCCCTCTCCCAACCCCCACCGTTGGCAAGCACAAGTCTGTTCTCTATATCTGTGAGACTTTTTCTGCTTTACAGATATGTTTGTGTTGTATTTTAGATTCCACACATAAGAGTTATCACATGGTACTTATCTTTTCTCCTTATGACTTACTTCACTTAGTATGATAATCTCTAGGTTCACCCACATTACAGCAAGTGGCATTATTTCTTTTTTATGGCTGAGTAGTATTCCATTGTATATATACACCACATCTTCTTTTCCATTCATCTGTCGATAGAATTTATGTTGCTTCCATGTCCTGGCTATTGTAAATAGTGCTACAGTGAACACTGGGGTAAACTTATCCTTTCGAATTGCTGTTTTTTCTCCAGATATATGCCCAGGAGTGAGACTGCTAGATCATATGGCAACTCTATTTTTCATTTTTTCAAGAACCTCCATTCTGTTTTCCATAGTGGCTACACCAATTTACATTCCCATCAACAGTGTAGGAGGGTTCCTTTTTCCACACGCTCTATAGCATTTGTTATTTGTAGACTTTTTAATGATGGCTATTCTGACTGGTGTGAGGTGATACCTCATTAGTTTTCATTTGAATTTCTCTAATAATAAGCAGTGTTGAGCATCTTTTTACATGCTTTTTGGTCATCCGTATGTCTTCTTTGGAGAAATGTCTATTTAGGTCTTCTGCCCATTTTTCAATGGGGTTATTTTCTTGTTATTGAGTTGTATGAGCTGTTTGTATATGTTGGAAATTAAAACCCTTGACAATCATATCATTTACAAATATTTTCTCCCAGTTTCTAGTCTGTATTTTCATTTTGTTTATGGTTTCCTTTGCTGTGCAAAAACTTGTAAGTTTTATTAGGTTCCATTTGTTTGTTTTTATTTCTGTTGCCATGGGAGACTGACTTAAGAAAACACTGGTATGATTTATATCAAAGAATATTTTGCCTATGTTCTCTTCAAGGAGCTTTATGGAGTATGGTGATATTTATACACTGGAAACATGAAAACCCACTAAACGATATACTTTAAAAGGGTGAACATTAAAATTGATTTTTGTAAAAAAAATAAAGGGTGAACGTTATAATATATATCAGTAAAGCCATTAAAAAAATGTCTCTGGGGAAGGGGCAAAACCTCGGCATGGCCCCACACTAGATCAGCCAGCCAGGCACTGGTAAAGTTGAGCAGGACCCTTCAGGCAGACCAGAATGCCCGATCCCCAGCCTCATGCTAATAGCATCCCCAACCTAATAGCTGTTAGGACTCCTCATGAGGCTGCTCAGGGAGAAACAGGGGTGCACACAACCCAGGCCCAGCAGTCACAGGAGCTACAACAGGAAACCTGGGCAGGAAGCAGTGTCCTTGGTCCAGCTTGGGGCTGGGGAGAAGACAAAAGGCAGATGCTGGCCCGCAGGCCAGGGCAGGGCATGAGGGCCTTACCAAGTGAGGTCACGAGCTCCAAGGTCTCCAGCATCACGGTGTGGTACAGCTGCCTCTGGGCCTCATCGAGGAGCTCCCACTCCTCCCTGGAGAAGTGCATGGCCACCTCCTCGAAGGCCACCAGGCTCCCCCATGAGGAGACAGCAAGGCCAGGTGGCCAGTAGGTGGGCTGGAAAACAAACAAAGCAGTCCAGCGGGCACATTCAGGCCCTTGATGTGCGATGCAGAGTTCTGCCACGTGTCCCACTGGCATCTCCTCTCCTCATGAACCCCGTCCATCCTCCCTCCACCCGCTTGCAGCTCACCCCCTCTGCAGGCCCTCACCTCCAAGAAGACCACAGGTGCTGGCCCCATTGCTGCCCTGCTCTCCTCACATTCCCACTGGCCACTGTTTTCAGACCAATCCTAACGAGAGAGACAAAAGGAAGGTGTGTAGATGGATGCTGTTTGAGCTCTAAGTTGTCACATGACACCCCTCTCCCTACTAACCAACTTCCCTGTGTCCTTCAGGTCACACCTCCCAAATGTAAGTAAATCTGGGCTCTCTTTTCTTCCTTAAGCCTCTGTATCAGGGCTTATTCCCTAACCATGTACACATCAATCTTCATACCTCTACTCCCCACATCCCACAGTACCATCGCCCCTGTCCCTGGCCACACCACAGGCACGTTCCTCTGTACTCACTCACCACTGTGCACTTAGCTTGCCAACAGAGGCAGGCAGGATCCGATGCCGACCTTGGACTGTCCTTGACTGCGAAAATTTCCCACTAACAGAGAGAGCCATCACCTCTCTAGATAAAGCCTCCCTTCTTGGCTCTGTTGCTCCAACCTTGCACCCCAGAACCAGGAGTAATAATCTCAAACACCATTTTTCTCTTCCAGCTCTAACATTATTCATGCTGTCCCTTCACAAGTCATAGCTGTCCTTGCCCGTCCTAATACACAAATCCCTGACTTGCTTGTCCCCACTCTTGGCGTGGCAACTCTTAGCTTGGGTTGAGCCTTTTTGTTCCTGATATTCCAGCAGCCTAAAAAACCCCCATGGACATAAGGAGGATGGTCACAAAACCCTGTGAGCTGTAGAAAGGTAAAACAATCTAAACTCAGGCCCCACTGTCATCCTACCTTACTTCTGTGCTTTTTCTTTTTCTTTTTTTTTTGTATTTACTTATTTGGCTGTGCTTGTCTTAGTTGCATCATGCGGCATCTTAGTTGTGGCAGGTGGAATCTAGTTCCCTGACCAGGGACTGAACCCAGGTCCCCTGCATTGAAAGCATGGAGTCTTGGCCACTGGACCACCAAGGAAGACCATGTGCTTCATTTTTTCATCCCAGGTCTACACTCTATTCAGAGGCTTGTTCATCATCCTGAATCCAGCTCATAGCTGCAGACAGTGTGCAAGCACAAGCCTCCACCCGGCGGATGTCTCTAGTCTTAAGCTGGCATGAAATACACTTGACATCTCAATTTGGCAGTCTCAATGACATTCCAAATATGATATGGCCAAAATACAGTTATTTTCCCTCTGAAATCTACTCCTCAAATCATCTTCCAAATCCGAAAAAACATTCAGGGTCAACCATATCTACCTGCCACACATCAGGAAATCTAGTCTACCCTAAAAATTACATCCAGGAGCCAACCACTTCTCCTACCTTACAGGCACCTCCCTGCTCTAGCCACCAAAACCACACACCGGGACTACTGCAGTCACCTCCTCCGTGATCTTCGGGCCTCCAACCTCACCCCACCTTCCAGTCTCTTCACCCAGCATCCACAGACTTCTTAAGATCTGATTCAGATCACCTCCTCCTCTGCTCTAAACTTCCCAGTGACCCGCACCACACTGAGAAAAGAGGCCCAGCACCCCAGCCTCCCTTTCCGGGTCTGTCACCAGTTCCCTTGCTCTCTATTTCCACCAGAAGAAATGGAGATCTGTCGTTTTCCTCAACACTGTCACTTTATGCCCACCTCCAAGCAATTGGCACATGCTGGTCCCTGTGTCACGGGCACCTTTCCAGATCTTATGCCATGTGATCAGCTCCACATAACCTCTGGCCTAGGTTCAGGATGCCAGGGGAAAGTGACTCTCAAGGGCCCAGACTCATGTGGAGGCCGAGTTCGGGACGCCACCCATCATTCCCTAACAGACCCCAGGGTCACAAGGGCGGGGATCTCAGCAGGTGAAGACCTGTGTCCTCTCACCTGCCACTCACCTGCCCTGGGTCCATCAGCGACTCTGCAGGACCGGTCACAGCCTGTGAGCTGGGCGGGGCCGTGTCAGGCGGCGGCCGGGACGAGCCGGCGGGCTCACCCAACCCCACCCACACACACTGGGTGGGGTGACGCAGGTTGATGGTCGCACTCAGTGCTTCGACCGTCCCCAGGATGAAACGGAAGCTGCCTCCCCGGAACTTGGGACGAAGGCGGGGAGCGGAGAAACCGAGGCTTGGGTAAGAGGGGCGGTGAGCCGAGGATAAAAGGGAGTGCCAAGGTGCGAAGAGGGTCCCAGAACGTCCCCCTGGGAGCCTTCGCCTCACGTTCCAGGGTGTGTATGCCGCAGCCCCACCAGGCACAAAACTAAGACTGCAATGGCGACGCCGGAAGTCCCGCCCCACCCTCTGAGGCCAGGCGAAAACGCCCGAATCCTGACCCTCACTGGCTCCAGACTCGTGGACGTCTATGACGCTTTTCCCTGAGCCTATCGCTGTGCCGCCGAGTCGTTGCCTAGGTGATTAGGCAGGACGCACCGCATCACGGCTCACGCGACATGAACTACACTACCCAGAACTACCCTCGCCGTGCGTTTACACCAGTATTGACCAATGATAGCCTAGGAGATAGGCGTTTCCGGGACAGCCACATCTTGGAGGGCGGGACTTCCATTCAGATTGTTGCTCCTCTGTCCTGCTACTCCGTTGGCCGCGGGCGGACGGACCTTGTTGTTGGACTGTGGTGGTGTCCAGGGGGCTCCTCAGGCCCGCGGAAACGGGAATGGGTATGTACGACAGCCTAGGAGGTCCCGACTGTGCCCTGTATGTCCCGTGACCTCAGCAAACGTCCCGTCTCCCCGGGCTCTTGTGTCCTCGGCTGTCGGGGGACCGCCTGGCGCGGGGGTTGTCCTGCGGGTCGTCCGTCAAGGCCCGTCTGTGCCCGTGGCCGACCCGGAGTCGTCGCCCTGTGTGTCGTGTCCACTTTACGGAAAAGGGGCCCAGGCTCAAAAGCCACCCGTTCCGAGGTCATGACCCAGCATGCGTCATGCGGGCATGATAAGCGAGCCGGGTGAAGTAGGGTCTCCTGGCCTCCACCTGGGTGGACTCCGAACCCCGTGCCGCAAGTCCTCGACTGAACCCCAGGCCTCGGTGCTCAGGACACTGGGGCGTTCATAGGTGGCGGCCTGCATTTCAGAGTCCAGTGATAAAATGACGGTGCAGGCGGAGGGATATGCATATGCGAGGACTCGGAGGTGAGACTGGCCTGGGAGCATTCGGGAAAGTTCTGCCGTCTTCACTGCGGGTAAGCGACAGTGTGAGCATGGGAGTCCTACCTCTGTTGACAGGCTTAGGATCCTGGGAGCCACAGATTTTCATTAGAAGATGGATGGCCATGATCTGAGTTAGGATTTTGAAACTGCGTAAACACAGAGTTGGGCTGGGGGCTGAAAGCAGGCAGCTTCTTGAGGATGCTGCTGCAAATGTTTCTCTGGTGACCTCTCGAGAATAGAAGTAGGAGAGGTGGGAGAAATAATCAGATTCCCGATACGTTTTTCAAAGTGGAGTCGGCTTTCCATGTGCAAACGGAGAGTGAATGTAGTGGAGGATAAAGGACTATCCCAAGTGTTACAGATAAAGAATGAGATGGAGAGTGGAGGTTGGTAGGAGGAGTATGTTTGGCAGAAGAGTAGCAGTTGGATTATGTGGGAGTAGAGTCTGAGTTGTCTGGAGACCTCTAAGTGGACCTGACCCACGTGCCCGTGAACAAACAGGAAAGTTCCATTTGGCCTCTTGATGTCTAGACTGCTCTGCCCTGGTGGCCTGGACCAGGGAATGTCCTGAGATGGGATTTTGGAAGGGAAGTCTCGGCTGTGGTTCCAGATGGGCCCTGAGATGAGTGTGGGATGTCCAGATGAAGGACCAGTAGCTGAGTGGAGGAGGGGGTGCAGAGAAGAGAAACTGTTCCCACTCCAGTGGATGTGGGGACAGTGCACACCAGGAGGAGGGCCCATGCCCGCAGAGGTGAAAGGGTGAGCAGGGGTGTCAGGGGATGGGCTTTTGGAGGCCTAAGGGGAGGTGTGGGCAGGACAGAGACTGGGGGCCCAGGTCCAGGGCCCAGTGCTTAGATCACATTCTTGTGCCCTTTGCCTGGTGTTGCAGGACCCAGTGACTTTTGAGGACAAGAGCGTGTGTCTTTCTTGAGGAAGAAGTAGGTCTCCTTAGTGAGGCCAGTGAGGCCTCTGCTGAGGTGTGGTGCTGTCTTCACCAGGTCAGGCTGCCATGTTCCCCAGGAGAGGCGCTGCTGACCCCTGTGCTGGCTGTGTCCTGCTGCTTCTCCTCCCAGACCACCGTGTAAACAACCACAGCGCTGTTTGCCTTGGGATCTTGACAGCCATGGTTCAAGATCAAAAACATCACAGCCTCAGTAGCACCAGATTGGTCACCTTGGTTGTTTTCTGGTTGGGTGGCCCAGTCCAGACCTGTGACGTTTCCCTCCCTCTGTCACCTGTCTTCTGGCAGCATGTGGGGGCTCCGCTTCATTGCGATGTGCAGGCTTCTCGTTGCGGTGACTTCTGTGGTTGTGGACCATAGGCTATAGAGAGCAAGGGCTTCAGTAGTTGTGGTGCATGGGTTTAGTTGCCCTGAAACATAGGAGATCCTCCTGGACCAGGGATCGAACCCGTGCTGCCTGCATTGGCAGGCATTCTCTCAACCACTGGACCAGCAGGGAAGCCTGGCAAGTTTATGTTTAACTCCTTGGAAGCTCCTGAACTGGTTTCCAAAGGGTCTGTGCCTTTTTATATTCCCAGCAGCACTGTAGGACTGATCCAGTTTTTCCACCTCTTGCCAACACCAAGACAACTTCGTGGTGTCATCCTAGTGGGTATGAAATGGTATCTCAATGGCTTTTTAAAAAATCATGGTAAAATATACACAAGACTTACCATTTTAACCATTTTCAAGTGTATGGTTTAGTGGCATTAAGTAAACTCAATTGTGCTGCTTTAACCCTATACTTCTCCAGAACATTTTTATTATCTTGAACTGAAACTCTACCCTTGAAGCAGTCATCTCATTGGGCTTTTGATCTACATTTTTCTCATGAACAATGGTATTTTCAGGTGCGTGTTAACAGTCTGTTTATCTTCTTTGATGAAATGTCTATTCAGATCTTTTCCCTATTTCTAATTGGGTTGTCTTTTTATCTTTGAGCCATAAAGTTCTTCATAGATTCTGTGTTTAGAATCCATATGAAAGTATTTTCTAAGTATTTTTTCCTCAGTCTGTGGCTCATTTTTTTTAACTTTTATTTATTTGTGTTTTTTATTTAAAAAAAACACTTTTTATTTTGTATTGGGGTGTAGCCAGTTAACAGACATTGTTGTGATAGTTTCAGGTGAACTGTGAAGGGACTCAGCCATACATATACATATCTCCCTTATTACCCCTGCCAAACTCCCCTCCAATCCAGGCTGTGTGCTCATCTTTTAATTTTCTGAATGGTGTTTTTTTTTAAAAAAAGATTTGTTTATTCGGCTGTGCCGGGTGTCCATTAAGGCATGTGGGATCTAGTTCCCTGACCAGAGATCAAACCCAGACCCCCTGCATGGGTAGCACAGAGCCTTAGCCATTGGGCCAGCAGGAAAGTCTCTTAATGGTATTTTTTTTTTTTAATGGTGTGTTTTAAAGAGCAAAATTTTACATTGTGATGTTAAATTTTATACTCGTTGTCTAATATATTAGTTTTTCTATTTATATATTGTCTTTGTGTCATACCTAAAAAATTCTTTGCCTAGCCAAAAGTCAAAAAGTTCTCCTTTGTTTTCTTCTATAAATTTTATAGTCTTAGCTCTTATGTTTATGATCTTTTTCATGGCAACTTTTACGTATAGTTGAGATAAGGGTTTGAATTTATTTTTTTTGCCTGTGACTGTCTAGTTTTCCCAGAACCATTTGCTGAAAAGGCCATCTTTCCACGTTATACTTTTGTTGGAAATCAGTTAAGGGTATTTTGGTCTCTTAAATCTATTTATCTGTATGTCTGTTCTTACGACAGGACCACACTGTCTTGATTACCTTGGCTTTATAGAAATTTTTGAAGTTTAGTAAGGAAAGTGCAACTTTGTTTCTTGGCATGATTATTTTCCCTATTGTGTTCGCATGTCTATGATTTTAGGGTCAGCTCCTTAGTTTCTGCTCAGAATGTCAGCTGTGTTTTTTTTTTTTTTTTTTTTCATTTTTATTAGTTGGATGCTAATTACTTTACATCATTGCAGTGGTTTTTGTCATACATTGAAATGAATTAGCCATGGATTTACATGTATTCCCCATCCCGGTCCCCCCTCCCACCTCCCTCTCCACCCGATCCCTCTGGGTCTTCCCAGTGCACCAGGCCCGAGCACTTGTCTCATGCACCCAACCTGGGCTGGTGATCTGTTTCACCCTAGATAATATACATGTTTCGATGCTGTTCTCTTGAAACATCCCACCCTTGCCTTCTCCCACAGAGTCCACAAGTCTGTTCTATACATCTGAGTCTCTTTTTCTGTTCTGTTTCTGTTTTCTGTTTTAACGATACGGTTATCGTTACTATCTTTCTAAATTCCATATATATGTGTTAGTATACTGTAATGGTCTTTATCTTTCTGGCTTACTTCGCTCTGTATAATGGGCTCCAGTTTCATCCATCTCATTAGAACTGATTCAAATGAATTCTTTTTAATGGCTGAGTAATATTCCATGGTGTATATGTACCACAGCTTCCTCATCCATTCGTCTGCTGATGGGCATCTAGGTTGCTTCCATGTCCTGGCTATGATAAACAGTGCTGCGATGAACATTGGGGTGCATGTGTCTCTTTCAGATCTGGTTTCCTCGGTGTGTATGCCCAGAAGTGGGATTGCTGGGTCATATGGCAGTTCTATTTCCAGCTTTTTAAGAAATCTCCACACTGTTTTCCATAGTGAGAATGTCAGCTGTGGTTTTGATAGGGATTGCACACTCAGAACCAGTGGCATGTGGGACCTGGGTTGGTTGTTCTGGCACCACCGGTGAAACATGGGTGTTCCATGAAGTGCACAGAGCCTGGCTGGGAAGGGTAACAGGCAGGGGAAAGGCTTCTCCCCAGGTGTGGGAGGCAGCGCCGTGAGGCCTCTCTGACCACAGCTGACCACTCTGGTACAGGGAGCTGAGCCCACCCTTTGCTCGGAAGCCTGAGGCCCCAAGGCACACCTGACTGCAGCTCTGATCGCAAGCCCCCCTGTCGGCTGAAGGAAAGGGAAGGGAATGTCTGAGTTCAGGGGATGAACAGATGCCTCAGGATGCTGGGGAGAGCTCAGGGAGACAGGCCCCAGGCTTGGCTCACTGCATGCCTGCAGGAGTGTCCTGCGCCCAGCGCTCAGCTTCAGGTCGATGACGGGGAGGGAGTGGAGAGGTGTCCTGAGAGCGGCCGCAGCGTGCTGTGCAGCGACCCCTGGGCTCTGCGCCTTCCTGCCTGGGGATCCCTGGGCTCCTGGTTTGCCTTTTGTCCTGAGTCACAAATGATAGCCCAGAATCCAACATTCTATATAGCTCTCTCCATGTATATAGAAAGAGTGGAGCTCATACATACCTATCAACTTTGAAGTTTGGGGGGGGGATAGTCTTGAACCTTTATAAAATCAAAAGGCTCCACGTAAAACATGGATCTCTCACTCCTCTTGGAAAAGCAGCAAATGAGACCACCAAATGTGGACCCCACCATCCCTGCCTCTGTTCTGGGCCCTGCCTCAGTGGAAATCAGCAGATGATGAGGGCAGGTGCCCCCAGGCTCACGTGCAGTGCCGCCTGTGCCCCTGATATCTGGGCTGCAGACCTCTCAGCCCCAGGGTTCCTGCCTTGCGGTGATGGTCTTGCCGGGAGCAAGCCCAAGGAGGCCGAGGAGGCCGCCTGCCTGCAGACTGTCGTCCGGCCCCGAGCAGCACGCTGTGGCTCACGCCTGCTCTCAGGTGGCCTCTGCACCCATTCTCAGGTCACGGCGAGCCTGCGCGGCCCCTCCCTGCCAAGCTGAGCCCTCCTTGCCCGTGCTCGGCCAGCAAGTGTGGCAAACGTGACACGCCACAGCCCTCCCGAGCTCAAACCCAGTGTGTCCACACTCATGTGGGGTCTTAGTTGGCACACCAGGGCTGGAACCTGTGTCCCCTGCATGGAAGCATGGAGTATTAACAGCTGGTGTGTGTGTGTGTGTGCGTGCCATACTCTGTCATATCCAACTCTTTGCGACCTCAAGGACTGTAGCCTGAGGCCCCTCTGTCCAAAGGATTCTCCAGGCAAGAATACTGGTGTGGGTTGCCATTTCCTTCTCCAGGGGATCTTCCTGGACTAGGGATTGAACCCATGTCTCCTGCGTTGGAGGCAGATGCTTTACCATTTGAGCCACCAGGGAAGCATTAGCTGCTGGACCACCAGGGTAAGTGTGTGTGTGTGTGTGCGTGGGCATGTGCGCATGCGTGTGTGTGTGTGCGTGCGTGCATACGTGTGCACTCCAGTCTAACCCTGTGTCCCCTGCATGGAAGCATGGAGTATTAACAGCTGGTGTGTGTGTGTGTGTGTGTGTGTGTGCATACGTGTGCACTCCAGTCTAACCCTGTGTCCCCTGCATGGAAGCATGGAGTATTAACAGCTGGTGTGTGTATGTGTGTGTGTGTGTGCGCGTGTGTGTGTGTGCGTGCATACGTGTGCACTCCAGTCTAACCCTGTGTCCCCTGCATGGAAGCATGGAGTATTAACAGCTGGGGTGTGTGTGTGTGTGTGCGTGCATGCGTGCGTGCATGCATACGTGTGCACTCCAGTCTAACCCTGTGTCCCCTGCATGGAAGCATGGAGTATTAACAGCTGGTGTGTGTGTGTGTGTGTGTGCGCGCGTGCATGCGTGCGTGCGTGTATACGCACTCCAGTCTAACCCTGTGTCCCCTGCATGGAAGCATGGAGTATTAACAGCTGGGGGGTGTGTGTGTGTGTGTGTGTGTGCGCGCGTGCATACGTGTGCACTCCAGTGTAACCCTGTGTCCCCTGCATGGAAGCATGGAGTATTAACAGCTGGGGTGTGTGTGTGTGTGCATACGTGTGCACTCCAGTCTAACCCTGTGTCCCCTGCATGGAAGCATGGAGTATTAACAGCTGGGGTGTATGTGTGTGTGTGTGTGTGTGTGCGTGCATACGTGTGCACTCCAGTGTAACGCTGTGTCCCCTGCATGGAAGCATGGAGTATTAACAGCTGGGGGGTGTGTGTGTGTGTGTGTGCGTGCACACGTGTGCACTCCAGTCTAACCCTGTGTCCCCTGCATGGAAGCATGGAGTATTAACAGCTGGTGTGTGTGTGTGTGTGTGTGTGTGTGCGTGCATACGTGTGCACTCCAGTCGAACCCACGTCTCTTACCTCTCTTGCACTGGCAGGTGGATTCTCTACCACTGGCGCCACCTGGGAAGCATTAACTGCTGGAACACCAGGGAAATCCCTAAACTTTTTTTTTTTTTTTTTAACACAGACATTCTTTATTTCTGGCCAGTGTACCCTGTTCTTTTCCTTACTTTCTTCAATTTAACTCTGAATTGGCAATAAGGAATTTAAGTCTGAATTTTGCAATAAGGAGTTCATGATCTGAGCCACATTCAGTTCTCTATCTTGTTTTTGTTGACTGTATAGAGCTTCTCCATCTTCAGCTGCAAAGAATATAATCAGTTTGATTTTGGTGTTGACCGTCTGGTGATGTCCATGTGTAGAGTCCTCTCTCTTGTGTTGTTGTGTTATGACCAGTGTGTTCTCTTGGCAAAACTCTGTTAGCCTTTGCCCTGCTTTATTCTGTACTCCAAGGCCAAACTTGCCTGCTACTCCAGGTATCTCTTGACTTCCTACTTTGACTTCCTTCTATGCTATCTTTTTTAGTTAGCATAGAAATCAAGTTAAATCATATATAAGCAAGAATGACTTCCCTAGCCCTCAATATGTGAACATTTCTTCCTTTAACATCTACCAAAATAAAAAGTGCACTCATTCTTGATGTAACAAGTAGCTGAGTAGGCAATGCTTAATTTTTGTATAAGTATACTTATGGTAAGCAGGGCTTCCCAGGTGGCTCAGTGGGTAAAGAATCTGTGTGTAATGCAGGAGATGCTGGTCTGATCCCTGGGTTGGGAAGATCCCCTGGAGGAGGGTATGGCAATCCACTCCAGTATTCTGGCCTGGAGAATCCCATGGATGGAGGAGCCTGGCGGGCCACAGTCCATAGGGTCGCAAAGAGTCCGACACAACTGAAGTGACTGAGCATGCATGGTAAGCAGACTAAAGCACCATCCCCGCCAAAGATGTGGAGGACTTAATGTCCAGAACATGTTGTTACAGGGCAAGAGGGAACTACGTTTAGATGGTAGGTGGAAATAAGGTTGATAATCAGCTGACTTTGGGACATGGAGATCATTCTGGATTGTCTGAGGTTGGCAGGATGGGAGCAAACCTCGTAATAATAAGGGTCCTTATAGTGGAAGAGGGAGGCATAGAGACGGAGAGAAATCAAGTCAGAGTGATATCATGTGAGGAAAACTCAAGTTGCCTTTGCTGGCTTTGAAGACAGAAAAAGCCAGGAACCAAGGAATATTGGCAGACCCTGGAGTCTAGAACAGGCAAGGAAACCCCTTTTCCCCCCAGAAGCAATACAGCCCTGCTGAGGCCTTAGTTTTAGAGCAGCTGACATGAGCGTCAGACCTAGGACATTCTTAGATTTTTTTTTTTTCATTCTTAGATTTAAAATATCTGTGTTGTGTTTTTCTGCTTTCAAGGGCTCATGTGATTATACTAGACTAACCCAGGCAATTCTGGATAATATGTCCATCTATGGGCCACGTCAGGTAACGTGTTAATAGGTTCTGAGCATTAGGGTGTGGACGTTCTTGGAGAGCCGTGGTTCTGCCTACCATGCTGAACTCATATGGCTATTGCGTGTGCTCAGTCACTCAGTCGTGTCAGTCGTGTCTGACTCTTTGTAACCCCATGGACTGCAGCCCTCCAGTCTCCTCTGTCCATGGGATTCTCCAGGTAAGACTACTGGGGCAGGTTGCCATCTCCTCCTCCCGGCTGTCTTCCCGACCCGGGGGTTGAACCCATGTCTCCTGCATCTCCTGTACTGCAGGTGGATTCCTTACTGCTGAGCCCTTGGGGAGACTTCCAGATTGACATGGCATTAGATATCTTCAAATAAGTGCTGTGCCTTCCCTGGCAGTCCAGTGCTTAAAACTCTGCACTTCCACTGCAGGGGCTTTGGGTTCCATCCCTGGTTAGGGAGATTAGATTCCCTCATGCCATGCAAGGCAGCCAAAAAATAAAATAAAACAGATGCTAAAATTATAAAAGCAGAAGTTTCCACAAAGAAATCTGAAGGTCTAGCTCCTCCAGGAAGTACACACCCAACAGAAGATCCTGAAATTGTGTTTACCTTTCCCACTTTCCTTTCTACGAAGCTGTGCCTCTGGGCCCCGAGCCTGGAAAGCCATGAAGGTTGTGACTGCTGAAGTCACCAGGAACCCAGCCTGGGCAACAGGAGCCTCCCTGGCTTTTGCTGGTGGGGTGACAGCTCTCCGGAATATGGCTCAGAAGACTGCAGGATTCAGGACAGCTTCAGCTGCTCAGAGACCTTGAGCATGGTGTTAATAGATACGAGTTTGGCCCCTGTAGGTCTCATGGCCTGTGCCCTTGCCTACTGGGCTCTGGCGTACCCTGTTGCCTGTTCCCTGTGTCCTGCCATTCCCCATCTACATAGAGGGGACCGGCCCCTGTCAGCCTGGAGTGGTGATTAGAGGGATCTGGTTTTTCTGGCCTGGCACAGAAAGATGGCTCATCTCCAACTGGTGGCCACGCTAAGATGCGCCTGGTTTGAGGGACCTGCTTCCTTATTCTCAGACAGCTGTACCCCTCAGATCCTGTGATTCCGCCTCAGGTAAGCTCTGGGCACACAGGTGACTCTTGAGATCCTGGCCACAGTGCTTTCCCTGGAGGGCCTGAAGTTACAAGACCTTTCGGACCACATGAGGACAGAGTGCCTCCCCCGCCCTCCCACTCTGTCCCCAGAGGCACGTGGACATTGCTGTCACCACTGAGAATCTGATTCCTCAGCATCCTGGCAGTGACCCATTTCTGTTCTGCCTTCTGGGCCACAGCCGTGGCTCCAAGGTGATGTAACCCTTCTGGCTTTATTGTCACAGAATCTGGAGCATTAGGAAGGGAGTTGCCCCTGGGACATTCCAGTTGTCCCCAGCAGAGTGAGCCTGTCCAGGAAGCCTTCCCCAGCACTGCCAGCAGACCCTCTGTGGGGCCCTTGGCCAGAGAGGGTCAGTTCCCAGCTCCTGTGCAGTTAGGGCCTGACAAGTTCCGACTCTTTGCCACCCCATGTCCATGGAATTTTTCAGGCAGAATACTAGAGTGGGTTGCCATTTCCTTCTCCAGGGGGTCTTCCCAATCCAGGGATCAAAACAGTGCCTCCTGCATTGGCAGGCAGTTTCTTTACCACTGAGCCACCTGGGGAGCCCCATATCATGTCCCATAGCTATGTCTTTCTTTTAAAGGTTCTGTTTAAAAGAACCCCTCTGTCCTGTTTCAGAGAGACCAGCATGTGCAAAGGCTTGGAGGAGGGTATGCAGGACACCTGAAGTCCTTTACCACAAAGTCCCAAGGGAGAAGGATTCATGTTAGGCCTTTATCCTGGGGGGGATGGGGGTGGGGAAGGGGTTGGGGAGACATGATTGGAGGAGTGACTAGATCTGACAAGACTCCCTTCTGGGACTTCCCCAGTGGTCCAGTGGTTAACCACCCGCCTTCTATTGTGGGGGATGCAAGTTTGATCCCTGGATGGGAAAGTACGATCCCTCATGCTGAGATGCAAATAAGCCTGAGTGCCACAACTGCTGAGCCCACGTGCTCTGGAGCCCACAAGCCACAGGGAAGATCCCGTGTGCCTCAAATAAGACCTGACACAGCCAAATAAATAAATACATTTTAAAAAAGAGCATCTGTTTGACATCCACATGGAGAAGGGAGGGGGACTGGGTGAAGGTCAGGGGAATGGGCCCTCTTGAGCCTCTACATGTGACACATTCCTGCCAGGCCCTTCAGTTCAGCTGCCCCTTACTGGTCAGCAGAATCATTCTCCCCACCGAAGATGTCCACAGACTGCTAACCTGCCTGAGGGCTACCACGAGGCCTGGAGTGGAGGTGGGTTGCCATCTGTACCAGTGGGGTCAGTCTCACAGTCCAGGACCACCATGCAGACCCTGAAAGTTGGAGAGCCCACCCCAGTGACACATCTTCAAAGACACCTGGTTGTAGTAGGTAGAAGCCGTGTGCCCAGGGACATGGCGGGGAGCCTCCCGGTTCAGCCCCAGCCTCCATTAACACCAAAGGCAGCTGAAGTGGGGGTACACGTAGAGCCCCTCCCCAGTGCAGAGAAGCCCCAGAGAAGTTATATGACACATCCACCAGCACGTTGACAGTGCTGAGGCCAATGGTAAAAGGTCAAAAATTGGGCAGTGGCCCAATTCCTGATAATCTCACCCCTTTCCCCAAATAGTTGGAAAAACCCTTCCACTCGTTAAGTCTATGAAGTTGCCCAGCCCATAAAATCTAATCACCCCATGTTTTGGGCCCTCTCGCTTTCTGAGATGGCCCACACTGTGGAGTGTGCTTCTCCCATGGTCGTTCTGGCCTTTTGAGGCTGACTGCATTCTATCTGTGGAATGTGTTTCTAAATAAATCTACTTCTTACCTATCATTTTTGTATCTCACTGAATTCTTTCTGCAATGAGACATAAAGAACCTGAACTTCATTAAGTCTGGAGACCCGGTGTGTGATCTCAATTAAATGACCATGGGTTGGGACTTACTTGGCAGTCCAGTGGCTAAGACTCCGTGCTTTCACTGCAGGGGGTGCAGGTTTGATCCTTGGTTGAAGGGATCCCTCGTGCTATGCCATTCAGCCAGGAAATAGAAAAAGACCTTGTGTTCGAGTCCCAATATATGGGTTTAGACTGGGTTTGTACTCCAGACACGTGGGTTCAAGGCGCAGAGGGGACTTGAGTATTCTTTGTGTACAAGAACGGCAGGAAACATGTTCTACCCAGATATACATTAGATTTTCTTCAGTTTCAAGGTAAGCAAAATTTAAGTGCAGATACTAATTGTAATATTAAGGAAATCACTCCTGAATATTCATTGGAAGGACTGAAGCTGAAGCTCCAATACTTTGGCCATCTGATGCGAAAAACTGACTCACTGGAAAAGACCCTGATGCTGGGAAAGAGTGAAGGCAGGAGGAGAAGGGGACGACAGAGGATGAGATGGTTGGATGGCATCACTGACTCGATGGACATGAGTTTGAGCAAGTTCCGGGAGATGGTAAAGGCCAGGGAAGCCTGGCGTGCTGCAGTCCATGGGATCTTAAAGAGTCGGACATGACTGAATGCCAAAATGGATGCTATCTCTTGCATTACAAGGATTTACAAAGAATATTAATAAAATAGACTGCTGGACGGCCGTCTACTCCACTTCCCAGAGTCCCTCGCGGTGACGCTTTGCCGTTGCCATGGAGACAGGCGGAAACCACGCCTCCCCGAGGTCTCTGCGCGTGCCTCCGCAACGCGCCACGGGCCAATGAGAGCTCGCGAGATTGGACTTCCGGCGCCTGGGACTGTCACTTGGCTACCGGTGTCCGGCCACGCCGGTGACGGCCGGAGAGCGCAGCGTCGCGGCCGGCTTGGCTGGAGGGCCTTGTGACCCGAGGCGCGGGCAGCGAGGACGCGCGGGAGGAGACCCGAGGCGCGGGCGACGGAGCCAGGAGGCCCACGGCTCGCAGCTGGTCTCAATTTCCCCGGGTGCCGCGTGGGCTGCCGCCGAACCGCGCACTCTCTGGTCTCCACGCAGCCCCAACGCGGCGCCCTTGACGGACGGGGAGAGTAAGTCCCGCGTCTGGGCGTCCGCCCTTTCTGCAGGTTCCAATGGCGGCGGCGCCTGCGGCAGCGCAGCCCGACCAGACGCAGGTGAGGAGCGAGAGCCCGGGCGCCCCACCCCACCTTGCCTCTTCCAGGGACCAGAGCCCCGAGCCGGGGAGGCACTTCACCTGATGTCTTCCCCTCGCGCTTCGTCCTAGGCCCTGGTGTTCCGGCCGGTTGGGCGTGCACGCGTGGGATCCCCACTTCTTGCAGCTAAAGGGGTGAGGTGTGGATAGAACTTCCGAGGGGACGGTGCCCCGTGTGCAAAAGCTGGGAGGGAAGCCTGAGTGTAGGCGCTTCCGAAGCTGAAACTGCGGGACCAGGAGAGGATATGTCCGAAAGGACAGGCCGAGGAGTTAAGACTATCCCAGGGCACTAGGAGACTGGACATGCTTTAAGTCACGAGTTTTTAGGTATCCCATCGTTTTCTGGATGGAGGGCAGCAGAGGGGGTGGCGCTCTGCAGGGAGCAGGCTGCGGCCAGAGTCCGGGCAGTGAAGAAGAGAATTCTGTGCAGATACGCTGATGTAGCAAGTGCGATGTGCGTGAGTGCCCAACGGAAGGGCCATTCTAAGGTTTTCCTCCGGGGCACCCAACAGGATGCAGGTGCCTAGCACTTTCACAGATCCTCCTTGGGCAGTGGGGCCAGGATTTGGGAGCTGGTCCTGGAATTGAAAACCCTTGATTACATCCTTGCCTTGGGACTGTGTCAGTGACAACTGTCACTCAGTGGGACAGAGCGGGGGAGAGGTGAAGGAGGTGCTGTAGACAAAATTAGGCATTTGAAGGGAAAGCAGGTTTAAGGGTAAATTGGGAAGAATCTATGGTATCTTAGAGTGGAGGTGTCACATGCACCTGGAATTGTAGCTGTCCACCGACAGTGTCCTGGTGTCCTGAGCGAGGCCGAGCCTGGGAATCAAACGGAGGAGGAGGGGATCTCATGGAGTCAGCCAGGGACAGGCATGGATACTTAGGGCTTTAGGGAGATGGAAATGGCTGGCAGTCCTGGGGCTCTAGGGGGAAGTCTGGCAGGTGGCTGAGGGAAAGGAGGCAGCAGCCGAGTGAGGAGGAAATAGAGGAGGTCTGACTGTGGAGGGAGGAGGGAAGTGGCTTCTGTGTGCCCGCTAGGTCCTTGGGATCTTGCCTGTGGCGGCTGCAGGGGATCAGCCAGCCCTCTGGTTCAGAGCAGCCTAGAAATGCTGGGAGTGTTCAGCAGGAGAGGCACACCTGCAGGGCTGGGCGTGTCCTGGGGGCTCTGCTGCTGTTGCTCGCAGTTACTTGTGCAGGAGCAGCGAGGGCGCCTTTGGGGTGGGTGAGCGTTTGCAAAGGCTGGAGAATGGGTGGGCACGAGGGGCTTCCCTTGGGGGTTCCTCTGGCTTCCTCATGTAGATGGATGGGCGGGGTTAACGAGGCATCTACGGCCCCGATAAGGAAGGCCCCGGATAAGGAAGGCAGAGGGGCTCAGCCAGGCGAGGGGCGTTCCACCTGCAGAGCTTCTGGGGGGTGGGGGGTAGCAGCTGAGAGACATGTGCAGAGGTAGCCTTCAGGACAGAGAGCTGGGTCTTGGGTCACACAGCCGTAGCTTCATCGTGTCCACCTTCCGACTCTGGCAGGGTCTGATGGCCTTTGAGGACGTGGCCGTGCACTTCTCCCAGGAGGAGTGGGGGCTCCTGGATACAGCCCAGAGGTCTCTGTACCGCCGGGTGATGCTGGAGAACTTCGCCCTCCTGGCCTCGCTGGGTAAGCTCTGGGTCCCCATGCAGAGCTTGGTTGTTGCCAGGCTGGGCTGCCAGCACTAACCTCTCATCACCTGGCAGCCTGGGAGCAGCCTCGTGCCCGCTGGCCGCGTGTCCCTGTTAGCTGTGGTGTCTCAGCACTCAGTCCCCTGCTGGTGCTGCCAACACTGTTTTCCTCGCTCAAGGGAGGAGGTGTGACCCTGCCCTGGGGTGTGCCCTTGGCCTCCTCATCCTCACAGAGGGTGCCGTCTGCTTCCAGCTAAGCCCCGGCCCCTCCGTCTGCCCCTCACTCGCCCGTCTTCTCCCACAGGCCTGTCTGTGTCCCGGCCCCATGTGGTCACGCAGCTGGAGTGCGGCGAGGAACCCTGGGTTCTCAGTGGGGTGGACGTGACCCTGCCCCAGGATGCCCAGAGGAGGCCCCGCCGCGGTGAGTGGGGCTCGGGGTGTGAGCTGGAGGCCAGCCTGTGAGCCGGCTTCGTCGGCCTCCCTTCCAGGACACGGTCCTCTCTGGCTTCCCGCCAGCCTGACTGTTCATCTTCAGCCTCTTCTAGAGGCTCCGACTTTGGCCGTCCTTGAGGGTGGCTCTGGGGCCGCCCCCAGGCTATGGGGAGACCTGCCCAGAGTCCCACCCTCAGCCAGTTTGTGTGGCCTCAGACCCTCACTGTCTTTCCTCACTACCTCATCCGTGAGGCCATTTATTTAAGGACACATGGTCTCTTGAGCACTTGCGGTGGCCAGCTCCATTCCAGGCCCTGGGGACACAACCTTGCCTAGATCACTTCTGGTCTTGCCTTTGTGGGGCTGACCCCGCGGGGGAGAGGCAGTCAGTAGGTGCTAGGGCTCAGGCGGTCAGTACCAGAGTTGGTGAGTGTGAGGAGCAGAGCGGCCCGGGAGAACCCCAGGGCCAGCTCCATGCCAGAAGGGAGTCAGGCCCCTGTTCCTCCCCCTCATCCACGCTGGGGTTGAGGGTCCCCTCGCCGACCCGCACGGCCCGCCCAGGATGACCCAGTCCTCCACCGTTTCTGTGCCTGCAGGTTCCCCTCTTCTGGCTGAGAACAGTAATGTTTCTGGAGAAGCCCCATTCCCTGGGGCTTTCGGGGATGGCTCCCTTCTGGCGCCCGCCAGTGTCCTCCCCACCACGGGTGCCTGTGAGCGCAGGAAGATCCCGGAGGGTCGGCGCAGCATCTCCCCGTCTCGGGAGAGGAAACCCACCGGGGTGTCTGTGATCTACTGGGAGAGGCTCCGGCTGGGGTCGGGCAGCGGCGATGCCAGCGTGAGCCTCCGGCTGACCTCTTCTCTGCGGCCGCCGCCCGGGGACAAGGCCCTCGCAGAGTGCCCCGCGGCCAGTCAGCCGTCTCGGGTGTCGGAGCGGCGGAAGCCCTGGGCACGCGACGCCCCCGGGGGAGCCTTCTCGAGCGAGCCCGGGGCTCCAGGAGCGCGAGGAATGGGCCCGGCCTGGCGCGAGCCGCCCGGCTGGACCGAGCTGGGTGAGGCACTGCAGCCCGGGCCCGGCCTCCTCTCCGGGGAGAAGCCCTTCGAGTGCAGGGCGTGCAGCAAGGTGTTCGTGAAGAGCTCTGACCTGCTCAAGCACCTGCGCACACACACCGGGGAGCGGCCGTACGAGTGTGCGCAGTGTGGCAAGGCCTTCAGCCAGACGTCGCACCTGACGCAGCACCAGCGCATCCACAGCGGGGAGACGCCCTACAGCTGCCCGGCCTGCGGGCAGGCCTTCCGGCACAGCTCGTCGCTGGTGCGGCACCAGCGCATCCACACGGCTGAGAAGGCCTTCCGCTGCGCCGAGTGCGGCAAGGCCTTCAGCCACCGCTCCAACCTCAGCCAGCACCGCAAGATCCACGCGGGCGGCCGGCCCTACGCGTGCGCGCGCTGCGGCCGCAGCTTCTGCCGCAACTCGCACCTCATCCAGCACGAGCGCACGCACACTGGCGAGAAGCCCTTCGCCTGTGCGCTTTGCGGGGCCGCCTTTAGCCAGGGTTCGTCGCTCTTCAAGCATCGGCGCGTGCACACAGGGGAGAAGCCCTTCGCCTGTGCGCAGTGCGGCCGCGCCTTCAGCCACAGCTCCAACCTGCGGCAGCACCGGCTGCTGCACACGGGCGAGCGGCCCTTCCGCTGTGCGGACTGTGGCAAGGCCTTCGCCAAAGGCGCCGTGCTGCTCAGCCACCGGCGCATCCACACGGGCGAGAAGCCCTTCGTGTGCGCGCACTGCGGACGCGCCTTCCGCGAACGCCCGGCCCTCTTCCACCACCAGAGGCTCCACACCGGCGAGAAGCCGGCGCGGCGGCCCCGAGCCTGCCCGCGCCCCTCGGCCAGGCCGCCTTCAGGGGCATCGCCCGAGGGCGCGCTGGGGCGGGAGGCCGGGCGCCCCGCCACCTCGGGCCCAGCCACCATGCTGAGGACCACTGAGGCCTGAGGGCGCGGCCCGACCTTCCCCGGCCGGTGGTTGGGCCCTTCCGCGCATACAGGCCCGGTCCTCCGCAGAGGCCTCCACTCTGGAGGAGCTTGGCGCGGGCACTGGGGTTCCTCCTGCACCTGGTGACAAGCTCTGCCGCTTGTCGGCCACAGCCCACCCCTCCAGCCTCAAGCGGTCTGGCTGCAGAAAGAACGGGGGAGGCCGGCAGGGTGCTGCCGGTTCACGTGTGTCTTCACTGTGGTACCAGAACGGGAGGTGCTGGGGGGCGTGGAGGTGGTCCGGAGACATTTCCGAGGTTTCCACCCAAACTGGAGGCTTTGTAGGGAACTGCTGCACCCCTGCCGCCAGAAGATCCCCCACTCCAGGCCTCAGTTCAGCCCGGACTTCTTGGAAACCGGCCCGTGGACAGGAGGCCTTGTGGGAGGCAGCTGTTGGCTTTAGGACCAGTGGCTGGGCTCTGAGCCTCAGCTCCAGCCTCCGGGGAAGAGAAAACATTGAGGCTGCAGACGGCAATCTGCAATCCCCGCAGGCTCCCGCCAGTCCCGCCTCTGCCTGAGGAGGTTTCTCCTGACAGCGCTGAGGGGCTGCTGTGGCTGGGGTCCCCACTCCCCAGAGGAGGCTGAGGTGCAGAAAGCTCGCCCCTTCACCCCACACTTAGCCTGCCAGCTTGGAGGGTGAAGCCTGACTCCTTGCACGAGGCCGACCCTCAGGACAGGGGAGTCCCCAGGGAGCTGGGGGAACAAGGTGCAGAGTGCCAGTTCCCCGGCTGTGCTTGTTCACTCAGATTGTGGTCCTGGCTTAGCTCCTGTGTCCTGCCATCCGAGCTTCTCCAGCCCCACTGCCCTGACGGGAGGTGACCACAGCAACAGGTTCAGAGGAGGCGGGTGGGCCACTTGCCTCTGTGGGATCCAGTGCCGTGTGCCTGCCTGTGCCTCCCTCATGGGGCAGAGGACTTGCCACCACGAGGCTGTGTGTGGTGCCCTCCTGAGACCCCTCCCCAGGGTGCCACAGCCCACGCGGTAGGGACACTGAGGCAGACAAATGGGCTGGGGGCCCGGTTGGCTTCTTGTGGCCTTCCACCTGGGGCATCTCCACCCAGGGTCTCACCTCCAAGGAAGTTAATGGTGCATTTATTGGAGGGGGGAAAGACTAGAAGTTACAGCTTGGAGGTACGTTTTAAACTCTTGCACGGCACTGTGCAGGTCTGCAGCCTCAGCCTCCAGGTCGTGGTTCAGAAGGTTTTGATGACAGAGTCCAGAGAGACTCCCTAATAAAGGTTTCTTTTTAGAAACGTACAGAGTTGGCCTGAAGTGGGGTTTCATCTCAGTGTGATGCACACGTGTTGTCATACAGCTGCAGGGCCCTGGCTTCAGGCCTGGTCCCTGTGAGGGGCCGCAGGGTAGAGGTGCAGCCTGTCTGTCCCCGGGGCAGCTGGGGACCCGGATGGGGTGGGGCTGCCTCACGCTGCAGCTCCGCTGGGAGATGAGCCCTTGTGGGTTCAGACCCTGGAATCTGAGGTTGTGGCTACGTGTGACCCAGAAGGTTGACCACAGCCCAGTGGGTGCTCCAGCTCCATCACCTCAAGACCTCAAAGGTGTGAGGTCAGAGACATGACACACCCTAACTCTCCACCTGCTGCTGCCCCTGAAACCTCACAAGTCTGAAGGAAAGGAGACTTGGAGGTAGGGAGAGGGGTCACACAGGGCCAGGCTCCCTAAGACTCCTCAGGGGCAGGTCCTCTGAGCCAGTGTCCAGCCATCTTGGGCCCAACCTTTCTGCCCTGGTCCTAGCCTTGGCCTGGCTCTGTCTCATCTTCCCCTAGGCTGGCCTCCATGAGGGAGCCCTGAGCAGATCACATCAGGGTTTGTTGGCGTGGCTGTGAGATGCAGGCAAACTCCACAGCTTACAAACGCTGTGGTAGGACCCTGTTGAGTATCAAATAGGTTCCCAGAGAATCAGTCACATGCAACCTTTGTTGCATCTCAGAAGAAGCTCCTGGAACCTGGTTTCCACCCTGAGCCCTGCTGAACCCTCAGACTAGGCCTGGTGCCCTGTCCAGCCTCCTTCCTGCTTCACTGAACTTTTCTTGCCATGTGGTTGGCTCCTACTACCCCAGTTCCTCCACCCTCCTTGAGTCCACCCTCCCAGTACCGAGGGGTGGTCAGAGGCTCCAGCCCTGTTCCTGTAGGAACAGCAACCATAAGTACCCCCCCTGCCCCCATGTCTTGGCCCCAGAGTTGTCCTCCAAACCTTTGTGGTCATGTTGGGCTGTGTCCTGCCAAACTGACCCCTCTGCTTAACCCCGAATGTGTTATGACTGTAAGTTTTTGTGGACTTTCTGGGTCAAGATGATGGACTGACTTACATGCATCTTACTCGGTCCAGAAACCCACTGAAACCACAGGCAGCGTTTGAAACACTAACCCTTGGGAATTTCCTGGCAGTCCAGTGGTTAGGACTCCAAGTTTCCATGGCTGGGGGCCCAGGGTTCGATCCCTAGTTGGGGAACTAGGACCCCACATTCTGCGTGGTGGGGCCAGTAAGTAAATAAAACACAAACCTGCAAGTAGGAGGATCGTGAAAGAGGAGGCAATGGCATACGGAAGCTAGAAGTGGGTGGAAATAGAGGAGCTAGTACTGATTTGGGGAAAAGTCGAATACTGAGTTGGCGCTGGCGGACGTGCAGGGTGGTCCGACCAGGCTCACGCTGTAGAAATCCAGAAGGCTTGAAAACCAGCAGCCCTCTGGAAGGGTAGACCCCAAACAAACATGACTGAGGGAAAGCTCCTGAAGAGGCTGTTAAAGCTCCAGCTCTCTCCACACGGTAGATGATGGAAGAGACCTTTCTTTGCAGGACTGATCTAGTTGAAGGCACGTCTGAGAGTCTGAGGATATAGATTACGGGACAGTTTCCTCATTAGCAGATGGGTGCCTGCTGTCCCCGCACACCCGCAGGGCGCTCAGTGGTAGTCGAATGACGGATCCCAGCGCCACCCTCGCTGGAGAAATTCCTGGGGAAGGCGGAGAACGCCCATGGGTTAGGCCAGCCTTTCCAGCAGATCCCTGCTTCCTCCTGGGACTCGGAGAGGCGAGTCTCTGGGAAACTTCCGGCCGCCCGGGAGGGCAGGGCCACGCTCCGGCGGTCGCCAAGGAAATAGCGGGAGGCGGGCAGCTGTGCTCCCGCGGTTACCAGGGCGACCGCCGGCGCCCAGAAGGAGGCTGCAGGGAGAGCGCCCGGGCGGAGCGCCAGCCTGATTGGCTGAGAGGTCACGCCCCTCCCCGCCTCACCTCTCGGCCAATAGGCACCGGCCTGATGTGCGCATGCGCAAGGTCCGGAGGTCCCGTCCATCTCTGCAGTTGGTGAGTCCTCCGGGGCGGGTGCAAAGGGAGAGCGGCTGCCAGGACGGGGCAGGAGACCCCCGAAGCCCGCGGCGCCGCAGATGCCGCTCGGAGCAACGGGGCGCCCCTCAGCTGTGCGAGGACTCCGAGAAAGTGCACCTGCTCCGAGGCCGCGCCTGTGCTCACGTGCTGAGGCTCATGGGAAACGTAGTCCGACGGGAGGGGGCGGGGCCTCGGAGCAGACGCATGATTGGCCAGGGCGGTGTCGCCGAGGCAACGCGCGAGGGGCGGGCCGATGGGGGGGGCCCGCGGAAGGGCGCGGGGCCGCTCACTACAGGGGCTCGTGGTGGCGGAGTGAGCGCCGGTTGGCGCGGCGCACGGGCACTCCAGCCGCCGCCTGACGTGCGCGGGGCGCCCCTCCCCCGAGCCATCGTCTGGCTCCTCCTCTGTCTGGGGCGCCGTCCCTTCCTCCCGGAGGATCCCCGTCTCCCCTTCGTCTGTGGAAGGCCAGCTCTGGGGGTCGGGCCCGGTTCAGCCTGTCAGACAGGCCCCCCCCCCCTTGTGGGCGCGTCTCCCTGCGGACCCTCAGGGCCGGGACACGGTTGCCCGCGGAGCGCTCCACACAGCCCTAGGCTCTGTTTTGCTTGGCTTCCGCCTTTCACAAGTACGGTTCACACGGCGTGAGTCACGCACAGCTGTCTGGTGTCAACGAGCACGGTGTCTCGGGGACCACGTCGGCCCCTGCCTCGGCCGTGGCGCATGCCAGCCCCTCGGGGTGCCCCTCTTGAGTCAACGTGACCCGGCTGGAGGGGACGGGCAGCCTGTTCTCACCCTGGCTCCCCCTCTCTCGGCTCCTCGGCTGACCCTGGAAGCCTGGGGTAATTCCCCTGGCCTTGCGTTCAGCATCATCTCCTAGCTGTTTCCTGGAAGCTCCATCCAACTCCACGTGGTTCACAAGGCTTCCTTCTGCTTTTAGTTCCAGCTCTTGTGACCTCTCCTTCCATGAAACTTTCCCCAGTTTAGCTTCCAGCATCCCCACACCAGGGCCCTCTCTGCCCAGACATCAGCACCACCACCGCCACCACCCCCGGGCTGGGGCTGTCTGCACGCAGCTGCCTCACCTTGACTGTGGCTGTGTGGCTGGCAGCCTGACTTCTCTTTCCTACAGGTGGCTCCAAGAACATTCCCCACACAATGCCATCCCCACTGGGTCCCCCGAGTCTGCCCTCTCTGGACCCTGAGGCCACCGCAGAGGATCCCGAGGCGGCACGCCAGCACTTCCGGGGCTTCTGCTACCAAGAGGTGGCCGGTCCCCGGGCGGCCCTGGCCCGGCTGCAGTTTCTGTGCCGCCAGTGGCTACGGCCCGAGGCGCACTCCAAGGAGCAGATACTGGACCTGCTGGTGCTGGAGCAGTTCCTGGGGGCTCTGCCCCCCGAGATCCAGGCCTGGGTGCGAGGCCAGCAGCCAGGCAGCCCTGAGGAGGCCGTTGTCCTGGTCGAAGACCTGCAGCGTGACCCTGGGCAGCTGCTGGGCTGGGTGAGTGTGGTGGTGGTGGCTCCTCTGAGGGACAGAGTAAAACTAGTGCCCCAATGACCCTCCCCCCCACCTCAGATTACAGCACATGTCCTGCAGCAAGCTGTGCTCCCAGCCACGCAGAAGACAGAGGAGTTGGTGGGGGGTGTCCACCCCTCAGGGACAGTGGAGCTCCTCAGGGTAGCCTCTGGGGAGGGGCCAAAGGATGCCCAGATGGAGGGCAATGCCCAGCTCAGCTGCAGTGTGAAGGAGGAGCCTGATGGCTACGTGCAGGAGACAGGTGAGGTGCGGGTGCACCAGGGCTGGGGCCCCTTGAGAGTGCGAGGGGGGAGTCCAGGAGAGGCTGTGTGGAGACTGGGGGCTCCTGGAGCGGGTCTGGCGTCCCCAGCTGGGAGGTAGGCCCCACGAGGACTGGGTCCCCTGGAGGCTGGAGGGAAGGGCTGGCTGCCTGCCTGCTGTGTGCCTGGCACACAAAGAGCGCGCCTTCCTGCTGCCAGAGGAGGGCCCAGGCTACAGCACCAACGCCAGCTCCTTGCCTGCCCTGGCTCACAGGAGCAGCCCCTGACCCCTGCCTGCCTGGCTTCCTAGCATCCTCCAGCCCCCCACCTCCAGCCCAGTCCCACAAGGAGCATGTCGAACAACAGGAACCGACTTCTGCACCCTTCCAGCCACCCCGGCTTCAGGTGAGCAGCTCCCGGTTGGCGAGTGCAGCCCCGCTGCGGGAAGAGGGTGTCCTCAGGGGCTGCTCTGTGTCCTGCCAGTTGTCCAGGCTCCTTGGCCAGTGCTTCTTGTCCTTTTTGCTGCCCCAAAGTGGAGTTGGTATCAGGGTACCCCTGGCAGGGTGTGGGGGACAGAACAGTGCTTGGAAAGAATTCTGGTTTCAGGGAACTGGGAACCTGGTTTAGAGTGATGGGAACTGGCAGCGGTGGGCTTTGCACTTACAGATGTGAGACGGAGGTTGGCAGGAGTCCTGAGCCAGCACCCGGTGTGAACCCTCATGTGCTTGTGCGGAAGGGACAGGGTCCCCAGTGTGGCAGGAAAGCCTGAGTACCACCCAGCAGTCTGGCCTCCCTTGCACATCCGAGGTCAGAATGGAGACACTCTTGCCAGGAAATGGCCCAGGGCCTTCCTCCAAGGCCAGTCAGCCCTCAGCTGCACCCAGCTGGGCGTGGAAGCCCCTGTCACCTGGAGGGCTTGGGTCCTGAGTGCAGGCATCAGGGTCTTGTCCTTTCCCAGTGACACTGTTCCTAACCCGCTCCGCACTGAGAAGCTCCCAAGGACCCAGCCGGAGCCGGAAAGCCCGGTTGTTTCAACAACACTTGGCCCGGCTGTGTCTGGAGATGCGAGGCAGTGCCTGCCCTCTGATCCCCCAGTCTCCCTGCAAGTTTGCTGAGGCTCTGGGCACTTCCCCTGAGGATCTCTGTTACCCTTGAAACCAGAGTCAGGGGAGAGGTGGTTGGGGTCCCCACCATCCCCTAGCCTTTTGCTCCATGCAGCACACGCAGTCCCAGGGCCATCCAGGGGTCCTCAGCTTCCTTCTGCATGGCCAGAACCTGGGGTGGGGCAGCTGAGGGTGACTGGTGAGCCAAGAGGCAGCTCCCTTCCCGGGCCTGCATCCGCAGCGCTTACTGGTTCCTATCTCAGCAGGTGAGGCTTAGGTAACCTGCCACCCCTCAGGGGACCAGCAAGGCTCTGGCCAGGATAGGCCTGGTGGGTGCAGAGTAGACAGTTCTGTGGGTGATGGGTTGTGTCCCTGCAGGAGTGGGGGCTCCTGGAGCCGTCCCAGAAGGAGCTGTACTGGGACGCGATGCTGGAGAAGTACGGCTCGGTGGTCTCCCTGGGTGAGGCCCCCTCTCCTCCTCCTGGCCCTTGGGCGCACCTTGCCTCCCAGCGCTTCCCAAGGCCGCCCCCCACCCCGCCCCTCATTCGTGCGAACCCCTCACCTGATGGGCCCCCCACCTCAAGCAGGGTTGCCGCACCCCCTGCCTGAGTCGCGCGCGAAGTCGCAGCTGGAGGCCCTGAGCACGGGATCCGGATCCGAGGGGCGCAGAAACCTCCGACCGGGTGAGTGGCCTCTCGAGGTCCGTTGGTGGGGGTGGGGGTGCAGGTGCGGGTGGGGCAGGGGCCGGGTGGAGGATGGGGGCGGGCGGGGCGCCCAGGTGCCCTGGCTGGACAGCGCTGGGTCCCCAGGTGACCTGGCCTCCTCCGCTCCCCAGGAGGTGAGAGCGAGGGCCGTCCCGGCGGCCCCGAGGCCCCGCCGCCGCCGAGGAGCAAGCCCTACACGTGCGCTCAGTGTGGCGGCGCCTTTGACTGGAAGTCAGTGTTCGTCATCCACCGTCGTGCGCACGCCAGCGGCCTGGGCACCGAGAAGCCGCCGGCCGGCCCGCCCCCGCGCGCACTCCCGGGCCCGCGCAGCTACGCCTGCGAGGAGTGCGGCCACAGCTTCAGCTGGAAGTCCCAGCTGGTCATCCACCGCAAGGGCCACGCCAGCCAGCGGCGCCACCTCTGCGCCGACTGTGGCCACAGCTTCGACTGGAAGTCCCAGCTGGTCATCCACCGCAAGAGCCACCGGCCCGAGGCGCCGTGAGCGCAGGAAGGGTGGCCTCCCCGTCCCGGCGCTGGCGTGGCCTGGAGACCTGGAGGCCGCCCAGGACCCTGGAGCAGGTCAGAGTCCCAGGGGGCCCTCTGCCTCCCTCAGTCTGTCCCCGGAGCTAATGCTCCCTGTCTCCTGCCTCCCCTACCCCAGCTTTCTGAGAGGCCTGGCTGGGCTCCAGGCTTTCACCAGCCCAGTGCTGCCAGGGGACTTGCAAGCTCCCACCGGTGACCTCGTGCGGGCTCCCCCAACCTCTGGGACCACTTGGCTTGGTGACCAGGCCCCTCCCGCTCCTCCTGCAGAAGCTGGGCCCGTGGTCTGAGTGTGGACGGGCCAGGAAGCCCAGGAAAGCATGGCCCGCTTCTGTCTGCAGCCAGCTGCAAAGCTGAAGTTTATCCACTGTGCGTTTTAGAGTTTTAACAGATTCCAGTTTTAAACTGGACAAGTTTCTGCAGAAGAATTGTGATGTCTGGTCTCTGCTGGTTGGATCAGAGCACCTGCTCTCCCGCCCAGCCCCTGGAGCTGCCGAGCAGCCAGCCCCTGAGCCGGACCAGCGTCCAGCCTGCCCGCTCCTTGGCTGCACACCCCACTGCTGGCATTGTTGTCCCTGCCTGAGTGGATGTGAAGGGAACTTCTCTCCAAGGATTTCTGGACAAGGATGGGCTTCAAGAACAGATGTCACTTAGGCCTGCAGGGCCAGCGGCTCAGGGCTGTGTCCCCACAGCCTGCACAGTGGGTCAGCCCTGGTGGCCCATCTGGGTCCTGGGCAGTCGTTCAGGTCTCGGCTAGTGTCCTGTGGTACTTTCCTACTGCTGCGATGGCTTGACACAACACGTGCATCCTCTTGGGACTCTGGATTGGGTCTCCCTGGGCCCAATCACGGTGTCAGCAGGGCTGGTTCCTCCTGAAGTCTCTAAGGGGGAATCCACTGTAAGGGTTTTTCTGGCTTGTAGAGGCTGCTGTGCCCCTTGGTTTGTGGCCCTTCGCTACATCAGCAGCGCTCGCCGTGGATAGTGAGGTCCCATACTGCCTCCTCCTTGTAAGGCCCTCGGGGCTGCATCCAGAGTCCCTGATAACCATGGTGATCCTCTTCTCAGGGTTGCACATCTTCCACGTCCATCCACCCTCCTGCTCTCATCTGCGCAAGCCCTTTGTGTGTGAGGTGACATTCACGGATCCAGGGGTTAGGACGTGGACGTCTTGGGGGCTGTTACTTGGTGCACTTCAGTCTCCATTCTGCTCTAAAAAGAGCATTTCGTGGGAGGTGATTTCAGGGAAACACCTGCGCCCAAGGATTGAGCCCCCCGCAGCCTCGGGCACATGCAGGGGTCGCAGGAGGGTGTTGAGTGCTGCAGTAACCATCCTTACTGGGCAAGGTGGGGGACACATGGACGGGGTTGGGGGGGAGCTTACTGCAGCCTGAAACTGGGTGGGAGAAGCCTTCACCCCGGGGACCCACCTCCTCCATGTCCAGTCTTCTGGGACCTTTGAGTGGTTGACCATACTCAGGCCCGGGGAGGCACGGCCAGGCTGGAGGTGGAACTAGGCACCAGTGATCTCGTTACTGCATCCAAGCTTGTGCTGCTCGCTGCATGACAGGCCAGTGAATCAAGAGCCTGAGTGGTTAGGGCAAGGAGTAGCACCTGTGTTCAAAAAGCCAGCAAACTGAGACAATAGAGACTTGTGCCCCAAAGAACCATCCTGTCTGAGTTAAAATCCGGGCTGCTTTTACACTGAAAGGGGAGGGAGTCAAGTCAAACGTTTCCTGGTTCAGAGGAGATGTGTTCATTTCCTCCTCCCTGTAGACACATAGGTGGGTGTGGTCAGGAGGTCTCCTGTGAGCTAAAGGAAGGAATTTTAGCTTAAATGCTCACTACCTGGGAGTCAGGGCTCCCAGAGGTGGGCTATTATGTATAATTTAAGCTTAGAGGCAGCATTCCTCTAGAGACTGACTCAGGTGACAGAATTCAAAGGTTCTTCCTCATTATAACACAATCTGGCTGGCAGCCAGCGGTGAGGTCTGTGCTGGGGTCACAGAGGAAGGTGCCAGGCCAGGGCCCAGCCACACAGATGGTGAGGTGCGGGCGGGGGTGGGCGGGCAGCCTTCTTGGGAGATTTTTCATATTTAAAAGTAGTTTCTGTTCACTTAGAAAAGTCTGAAATATATCCGAGGACAAAGAAGCTCACGAAGGTGGTCGCGGATGCCACTGTTTTTCTCGGTGTTCACACAGGGGTGGGGTTTTATAGCCGGTTAAGTCCCTGCATGTTGTTCTGAGCCTTGCTCTTCCCGCCCACCTCCCTGTGTTACTAAAAATGCGATGTGTCATGATGCCTGGGTGGAGATTCCACTTCCTGGGTTTCCACCAGGCCCTGACAGTTCCTCCCCCGAAGCTCCCGGTGCTGTGAGGACACACCTGAGCAGACTCTCTGCGGGCAACCTGTGTGTTTCTTCAAAACAGGCTCCTGCAGAGTGGGAGTGGCGAGTTTTCTGGAGCGTGGGATTTCTGTTCTTGTTTTTTTCCTTTTCTTCTTGTTTTAAGAAACAGATTACAGTTCTGAGGTCAGGAGGCGGACACAGTCTCACTGCGCTAAAGTCCAGATCCTGCTTTCCTTCTCTGATCTCTGGGAGAACCGTTGCTACACTTTTCCACCCTAGAGGTGGCCTGCATGCCGCGCTCACCGCCCTTCCCCAAACCTTCTAAGCCGGCAGTGGCCACTCAGCGCTTGTGGGGGCTTGCCTAAGCTCTCCTCTGCTCTCCTTTTCCACCTCTTATGGACCCTCATGATGACACTGGGCCCACTTGCATCATCCTGAACAGTCCTCCGTCTCAGGGTCAGCTGGTGGGGTAAGGGGTTTTTAAATTCTCCGCGGACTCATCAGTGTCTTCCAGACACATGGGCCCTGCCCGCCTTCCCTCGGGATGGAAGGGCACCCAGCAGCAGAGACTCCAGAACGTCGTGGACTCGCTTTTCCAACCCTCCTTTTCCATCCTGCGGGCAGAGCTCAGGAGCCCTGTGTCTCCACAGACAGCAGGCAGGCTCTGCCCCACCCACGTGCTCGGGTTTGTGGAGTCTCCCGGGGGAGCGGTGTGTGTGTCGCCCTGTTGTTGCGACCTTGTGCATGACGGAGTCACATCTGCCACCATCTTCCATGGGCTTTAGACCGCTCGCCCCAGCCAGCTCCACAGCACGGTCACCCTGCCTCTTGCTGTTGTAACTGGGCCAAGCCTCCTCAGCCAGCCTCCCGGGCACCCCACACCCCAGCATCGCCTGGGCTGTTTCTGGGCTGAGACCATGGGCAGCGTCTTCCCGCCCAGTCCCAGCTGCTTGCCCCCCACCCCTTCTCATCTGGTCCTTGAGGCCACCGAGAGCCTCTGTCCTCAGCTGGTCCTCTCTCCAGCCCCGTCTCCTTCCTTGGCCTTTGCTCCCGAGTTAAGTCTGCTGGAGGCGACCCAGTGGTTGGCAGAGCAGAAATCTGTCGCGAGTCTGTCTGACATTCGCACCGGTGGGTGTAGGAGGGAGGCTAAAAGTAAGGCCTGATTCTGGTGCCTCCTAACACCTGACACCAGGAGAGCCTCAAAGGGCAGTTAGCAAATCCCCTTCCCCCGCCCTCCATGCTGCACCTGGTAAGAGCCCTGAGTCAAACAGCTCCCCTCAAGTGACTAATTCCCCCCCAAGCCAGCAGTCACCCCAATAAGCCAGTCACACCCTCAGCAGGAGTCAGGGGCCCCCCAGCCTCCCTTAACTACAAAGCCTGCCTCCCCCTGGTCCCACAGGCACATGACCCTGTGTAGTGGGAGGTGCTCTCCTCCCCAGGCTGAGATCACTTCCATATGTTGTGTGTTCGGCTATCTCGGTAGCCCTAGGGCTGGTTGAACAGGAGATGGTTACAACGCTGGGCCCAGGAGCAGGTTGCTCACCACGGGCGTCACGACACTTGATGAAGATGCTCCATAGCCAGGTAGGGTACCGCACCCCAAAGCTGCTGAGCAAGCGTGGGGCAGGTGGGGAGAGTGGGACAGGGAGTGCAGGGCACTGGCCTGGGGCACAATTTTGAAGGGACGCCACAAACTCAGCCAGCAAGGTAGGTAAAGACTTAATATTCTAAAAAATAAAAATGCACACGTTGTAAAACATTAAGTTGCAGTGTAGAGATTTCTTAGCAGCTTTATGAAGACAGCCCTGTGCCATGCAATTCACTTCTTGCCGGTATACAATGCAGTGGTTTTTAGGGTACTCACAGAGCTGTGCCTTCATTGTCACAGGTTTAGAACTTTTTCTAACATTACCCAAAGCACACACCCCTATTGGCAGTCCCCCAAGTCCTCCTCCCCCTGCCCCTGGCAATCACTGGTCTCTTTTCTGTCTCTGTGGATCTATCAGAGCTGTTCTTTTTTTGCTGCTGCTATTTAATAATAGACCATTTACGCATTTAGCACATTTGGTTTATCCATTCCTAAGTTGTCTGTACACTGGGTTGTTTGCAGGTTTGGGGACTGGGAATAATGCAGCTATGAACATTCCTATGCAAGAGTTGGTGTGGACATATGTCTTTATCTCAGGTATAAGATTACTGTGATAATTGACCTTATGCTAACTCCACATGTAACCTTGAGATGACTTTTTTTTCTGTTTTGCACTGGGTCTTTGTTATGGTGCGTGAGTTTCTCTCTAGTTGTGGCACCTGGGCTCAGTAGTCATGGTATGCGTGTTGCCCCCAAGGCACCTGGTGTGGGATCTTAGATTGCCAACTAGGGATCAAACCCCTGTCCCCTGCATTGGCAGGTGGATTCCTTACCACTGAGCCACCAGGGAAGCCCTCCATCTTTTTTTTTTTAATATCCACAAACATCTGTTGAGGTGGACACGATCCTCAGTCCCATTTTACAATGAAGGAAACCAGTGCTTGAGAGGCAGGTGGTTCTAGGCATTGCCCAGGCCACCCAGCCTGGAAGTGGCCAGCTGTCAATCCAAGCTGCAGGCTCGGGGACCCACAGACCCAGGTTCCTGTCCAGCACGCCCCCCCCCCCCCGACGTGGCTCTCCGGGTTCCCAGCACATGCTCTTCTCTCAAGAGGAAATGCAGTGACAGCCTCAGCGGCCAGGGCCCCTTGAACCGGGCCTCACCGGAGGGGGGGGGGGCAGGGGGCACAGCTTAACCCCACTTGCAGCACGGCACATGCCCGAGAACTGGGCGTATCGGTTTGGCACAGGAGCGCAGGGATGCCTGGAGAGCAGAGTCCAGCACAAGACATGGCAGGAGCAGCTGACCACAGCGGGGCTGTTACCAGCACAGCTGCCCCTGCTGACGTCAGCCGGCCTGAGGCTCCCGCAGTGCCCCGAAGGTGCTTCCGGCTCCAAGATACCATCACCTCCGTTCTCCAGAAGGCTTGCCTCTGGCCCTTGTCAGATTGCCCCTCACAGCGCTTCTCCCCACACCCTCGAGACCACGTCCTCATCTGCAGCCCGGCCCAGCCCTGACAGAGGCCACAGGCAGACTCGGTGTGCTGTTGCCTCCTGGAGTGGCTGCAGCGGGCCGCTGGTTCCAGCCACTCCCCTGGCCTTGTCCAGACAGGCCTACCCCTCTGGGGGGATCCCTCACCTCTGGTTGTTCCCCATCCACACAGACATCCATGTACACATCCGGCTTTATTCTCACTCTGCCGCGGGCCAGGGTCACCCCAGCTTGTGAAGCTGGGGATAAGGCCAGGCTCATCGGGTCTGGGGAGTGGGTGAGGGGACAAGCGGAGGCGGGGACCAGCGTTGGATGAAGCGCCTTCGGATGTCCTGTGAGCTGATGGGAGGTCAGAGTCTCCAGGCTCCCTCACACACTGCCCGGTATATGTCTGGAGTCAGGGGCCGGAAGGCTTGGGCCTCGTTGTCCAGCACGAACAGGGGGTCAGCTACGATGCTCACGTTGAAGCCCTCGCGCACCAACCGGGACTTCACCAGTTTGAACGTGCCTGTGATCTCCAAGGCGTCCTTCGGGGGAAGAGACTGTAACCTCGACTGCAACCGCCCTGCCGGGCCTCCCACCCACCCCTCCCGCCACCGGAGCTCACCTGGATTCGAATGAAATGGGGAGCAGCGTAGGCCGGGAGCGAAGTGCGCACGTGCTGGTACAGCCTCTGCCCGTCGAAGGCCTGGCCGGGCACCAGCTGCACGGCGGCCATGCCCACTTTGCCCTCACACCCTGGGGAGCACGTACACGAGCTGCCCTCTCCCGGGTTCTCTGGCAGCTCCCCACCTGGAACAAGCCCCCGCCCCTCCCACAAGGCTGTGCACTCCTCCGCACCTGGCACAGGCACACCGTAAACGTTCACCTCCTGCAAGAAGTCCACGACTGACAGCACGCCCTCCACTTCCCGCGTAGACACGTTCTCACCCTTCCACCTGTGGGGTTGGAGCGAGTGCCTGTGATCAG